TATTTTTGCTAAATTTCTATTTTTAAATATTTATAAAACTGCTTCTGTTGGTAAACCTAACAGCATTCACAATCTTTAAGATTATCCCAAGAACCCCCCCCCCCCACTCTCTCTCTCTCTCTCTCTTAGAGATACTTAGTCATTATTTTCATTTATTTATTCATTATTGCATTTTGCTGTTTTAGCAAAATTGGAAAATTTGTAAAATGTAGTTTTATTCTTAAACTGACTAGTCCAAATAAATTAAAATATTTATCAATTTATTCTTATATTTTTTAACCACTAGGCCTAATGGATTTGGCTTAATAATATGGATTTAATGGATTTTAATGGATTATTTTAATTAATAATATGGATTAATGGATTTAGCATTTTGATTAAAAAACTAATAACAATGGGAAAAATAACAATTTAAATCATCCAATAATTTATCTTCTTTTATAACTGCATGAATGAAAATGATATGGTTGCCAATTTGTAGATCTTAGTATTTCAAGAGGATTTTAATTGATTCTGGGGATTTATTTATTTTACACCAATTGGTAACAATATGTTATATTCTTTCTAAAAAGTAAATTAATAAAAAGTTATTTTTATATGAAGTCTGTGTTAATATTAATAACAACACAAATCAATAATGCCCAACAAAACACATAAAAAAAAAAATCACTAGAATTTGACAAATTTCCTGTAAAGGAAGTGCTCAATAAAAAAAAAGCTGGAACAAGAATGATCAACAGATGAAGAATAATTCAAAGAATTTGTTTTATTTATGTTTATAATTTCATTATAATAAAAGTATTTGCATAAAAAAAAGCTTATCAAAGTTCACCAACATTTATATAATTCAGAATATTAGACACTTAAAACATTGTAATATTTAAAATTACCAATTATTTACTTATTTATTTATGATATTTTATATTGACTCTAAAAAAATACCAAACCTGTTTTATACTAAAATTCTAATGGCATTTAAACACTAGAAATGAAAAAATGTCATCTGTTTCATATTTTTTTTTAATATTTTTCATAAATATAAATTTTCATATGAACCCTTAAACATTACCAAGAATCATTAAAATGTATATGAATTATAGAACTGTTGGTGAATTTACTCAGTTTATTTTTCTACGATTTAAAAAAAAAATTTTAATTTTATTTTTATTTATTTTTTTTTTTACACAAATCTCTTTATAATGGCAAAATTATAAAAATACAGGGTTATTAAAAAAAATGAACTAATTTCATAACATATTGCTTCAGTTCTTAAGCATTGTCATGGAATGAGACAGTGACTATTTGAAAGAAGAGTTTTCTAGGTTCTGATTGGCTGTCACAGGGGTGCTGTGATTGTGTCATATCTCCAGCAACATTCAATTGTTTGTTTACCCCCAGAATGGTGAGTCCTCAGCAAAAGCCATTCCATATTCTCAAGTTTGTGAAAATAAATACAGTTGTAATGGTGCAGAGTGCTTTTCAAAGGCAATTTGACATTAATCTGCCATCTCCTAAGAACATTCAATGGTGGTTTAAACAGTTTCAAGAGAGTGGGTGTCTGTGTAAAGGAAAAGGTCCAGGATGACCATGAGTTTTGTGGCAAGAATCTGTGCTGCATTTGAGAGGAGTCTACAGAAGTCCACAAATCAAGCTAGCTGTGAGCTTGCGATCTCTCAATCCACTATCTGGCGTGTGCTACATTTGAAACCTTACAGATTATGCTTTGTTCAGGCACTTACCAAGACCTTGCTCTTTATGCTTGGCCTGCAAAATCCCCAGACCTCACTGTGTGTGATTTTTTCTTGTGGGGATATGTAAAAGATCACATTTGTGTTCCACCACTACCCACTAACTTTGATGACCTTAAACATCGAATAACAAGTGATCAACTCAGTGGATTGTGATATGCTGATACACATCTGCGAGGAATTTTTCTATTGCATTGATGTTGCCCATGCTGCAAGTGGTGGCCACATTGAACACTTGTAAGACAGGAAATAAAAGTTGATTGTGAGTAGAACACTTGTGACTTAGCTGGAGTTTTCTATTGCTTTTCCTTATTAAAATATTGTGTAATGAAATCGGTTCATTCTTTTTGAATAACCCTGTATATATCAGTTTTCATGTTGTTATAGTAATTTTGAACATTTAAATATTGTCAGATGATTTATTTTTTTTAAGGCATAGAACAAGTTTGGAGTTTATGATTAAAGTTTTTTATATAGTGTTTAGGAATTAGATTTAATTGATGGAAGTGGCAATATACCAAAAACCTTAGTAGATCTATCTTTGTAGTACTAAGAAACCAGATGCAAATGTAAGCTTCATTGAACCAAGTCACATAACCAAACTAATAATCCAAATTTTGATGAATAGTGCATGAAACAGAATTGGATCGAAAATAAGACAAGAACAGTGTGGCTTTGTCAAGAACTCTGGAACAAGAAATGTTATATTTATGATCAGAATGATATTAGAAAGAACAATACAAATGTAGAAAGATGTATACTTACATTTTATAGATTACACAATAGCATTTGATAAGGTATAGCACAAAGATCTATTTGAACTGTTAGGAAAGATCTATTTGGGAATGATGTTAATCCAGAACTTATACTAAGAGCAAGCCACTACAATATAAATAGAAAATGAATTAAGTAGGTACACAAAAACAGAAAGGGGTCATAAGACAAGGATGTCTTTTCAACCTCTACAGCAAGGCTAAGGGATTTGGAAACTATCAGGATTTATTATCGGTGGGTACAATCTTAACAATACACAAATGATACAGCATCGATGGCTGACAATGAAAAGAAAACCAGAGGACCTCTTAGACAAAGTAGAAAAGGAAAGCAAGAAAAAAGGACTGACCATCAACTGTACAATGACAATGTATGATTGTCAACAAAAGTTGATTGACTGATATGTTTTTTTTTATGACCATTTAAAGCTAGACATATTTTGGATTATAAGAATAATTGTTTTTTTTACAAGTAAATATTCTATTCATAATTTTATTTGTGAATAACAATGATTTTTTTTTAGATACAAGTTCTACTAATTAACCCATAGCTGGTGGGAGGTGATGGATTCATGCCTTTTTCAAGGGTATGTGCACATAAGTGAATGTAAAGAAGCTGTTTGGAATTTGAACACCAAACAAGTTGAAATATCTGGGAAATGTTTGAACAGAGGATGCAAAAAGTGACATTGAAATCTATATGTGCACTGGAATAGCAAAAGATGCCTTCCAAAATCTATGCAAAGTATTAAGAAACAGGAAAATTTTTTTAAAAACAAAGAAAAGAGAGTTGAAGAGTGTTATGTAATATCAGTCCTCCTATATGGCAATGAATTCTGGACAATTTCTTTGCAGAAACAGAAATGTACTTCTACAGAAGGATGCTGAGAATACCATGGACAGACTGTGTAAGCAATGAGGAAGTTTTAAGGGGAAATAGAAACAAAAAGAATTCTTGTAATCAGAATCAGAAAAAAAAAAGATGAAATTTCTTGGACACAAGAAGGAGGCAAAAGTGAAAAGAGGAAGAGGCAGCAGGACAGTCTGCCTGACAAGTTTGTGTAAATAGATGATGGAATGGGTTGGTGGGAGATAAATGTTACTAAGATTTACAAAGGATAGGATGCTATGGAGAGTTATGATCACCCATGTCCTGATGGATTACAGCACATAACAATGTAAACATGAAACAAAATTCGTAGCAAGATAATTCCTTTGAACTTTTCTTCATCTGTTGACTAAAGCTAATAGTCTGCAAATGACCATAAGAAAAAAAAATCATTTCTTGTAGTAAACAATATTAACAACAAAATGTGTGATTATCAGCAGTAAGGTAAGAGGTGAAAAATCTTTATTTCATTTTTGGTCTGCTGTTTAGAACAATATTAACAATAACAAAAACAATTTTTGATGAAAAGCTTTCTTCCAATAAAAACAAATTGAAACTTTTTCACTTGTTTTAAGGCTACAAATGTTTTTTAAAAAATCATATTTGGTTAATTGAAATTTTAATTTGGGTCTGATTAAAAAAAATGTTATCAATTTTTCTCTTTGAGATTACTTTTAAAAAAACTGAAAAAAACAAAAATCCATTGAAACATAAATGAATATTGTTTCAATTGTGACCAAACTTATTCATAACTTTTGTAAAAATTGGGATAAAATATTAGTAGAATAGAATATCATTAAATGTTTTTATGACCAAATATTTTGTTCATGTTATAAAATGCTATAAAAATAGTTTTGTTTTTTGTTTTGTCAAACATTGAGCAATCAGAAAAGCAAGAAAAGTTCATAACTATGATTTATTTATTTTCACTTAACATATTTACAAAATGAAAATTGATTGGACTGTTGGTTTTTTTCTTTTTCATTTACAAACACATGAAAATAATAATAAAATCATATTTTTATACAAGGAATATAGATTTAAAAATGTGAAATATATGGCAATTTGGAAAAACTTTTACGTTGATGAGATTTGCCAATTAAAATAAAATTCATTTTTTCTCATGTCAACATGAAATTTTTTTAGATTGTCATATTTATCATAAAAGGAATATACACAACATTTATGTTTGAGTATTAAATTTGATGTATTGTTTTATGTTTGTATCTTAAAAGTAAAACAATCCATACATTCAGTTAAAAGTGAAAATAAAATCATCCTTGATAATGGTTAAAATCATAGTCAAAAACGCTCAGACACACAGAACATTCAGACAATTTCTACCTAATTTATGCCCAGAAAAGAAGAAAATTATAAGAACACAAGAAAAATTAAATAAAGAAAAATACACAATTTTATATATATAGGTAGGTAATGAAAAGTTTGGTAATCTGTATGGATAATTCCAATATATAAAATTTCAAAAGAATTTTGTTTTATGCATTAAAAAAATAATGACGACAACACTTGAACAATAAAAATTAAAATTACCCAAGAATACTGGTACTTATATTTAGAATTTAAATTTTACTAATGCAAATGAACATTTTGTTTTTTTAAAGAAACTATAGAGATAATATAAATATGATATATAAGTACAAATGGAAAACATTAAATGTATTTATAGTCATTGTTTTATTGTAAAGATATTTGGGTAATTTGCAGTGTAATTCCTGTGCTCAGTTTCTAATAAAAATTTCCCAAATAGTTACATGTAGGCGTAAATGTACATGCGAAAATAAAAAATGCGAAAATAACAAAGAAATTTGCTAAGATCTACCATTTTGGAGTTATAGGACTCATTTGTGTCATGGCTACAGCACGGCAGCCATTACTAGCAATGTTTACATACATTTGCTTCAAAGCAGTCATTCACAGAAGCTTCACTTGTCTTGATTAATGTGCAAACTTTGCATGAAATTTAAAAAGAGCATATTAAAATATTAATAACAAGAATAAATTTAAGATTCAAATTTTCTTTTTTATTAAATTTTGGAGATTTAAAATAAGATTTCATTAGTATTACAATTTGTTTTATTATTTAATTTGTTTTATTAAAAAAACAACACTTGTCATTGCTTTTCTAAATAACTTAAACAAATTAGCCAAAATACCTAACCCTTGCACAGTAATTGAGATAAGTAAGATCAGTAAAAAGGCCATTAACTAAGTAAGCTTCTGCAAATGATTGCTCCAAGCTGAATGTATATAAACAATGCTAGTAATGGAGGGTGTGAATGAGTCTGAACTTATATTGTTGATAACTCCAAAACGGTAGATTTTTAGCAAAATTTCTTTGTTATTTTAAAATTAAGCATGTATATTTACACCTACATGTAACTATTTGGGAAATTTTTAGTAGAAACTGGGTGTGGTGGGCTTGAACTTCAAATTACCCGAGATAATCTTTTGCCAGTATTTTGCCAATCAGATGAGAGATGCTCTTTTCATTATTATTTTTATCTGAGAATAATTACGAGAAATTTATGTTTCAGATAAATATTTTTGTTTATTTTATATTATTTGATATTGTATAAGGATATGGTATTGGGCAGAGGATATTGTATAAGGATATGGTATTGGGCAGAGGATATTGTATAAAGATATGGTACTGGGCAGAGGGTAGCAGGAGAGAATAATAACAAAAATATGGGCTAAATTCCAGCAGTATATCCTGTTTTCATTTTCATGGTAATTCTCAGCAGTTGGTTGTATTGATTATTGATATGCTCACTCGACTAATTATTGGATTTCAAGAAACTTTTCTGTATTTATTTATTTAGAAGAGTTTTTTGTAAAAGATTTTGTGGAAATAATTTTGAAGTTGACAAACTCATCCACATTATTTAATCTCTATACAATTTCATTCTGATGCTAAAATATTTACTTTTCTAAAAAGGTAAGTCCCAGAAGAAATAAAATCAGTTAAAATTTTATTTAAAATTTCAGTTAGAGATAGAGAAAAATGCCTTGATTTGGAAAATAAAAATTTCAATAGAATTAAATATTGTTTTGTTTGGAAAATTATTTTTTATTAAATTTTATTTTTCTGAAAAGAATTAATTGTTCAAAAATTAATATTTAAAATATTTATTTTCAAAAAAATTATGAAATGTTTTATTCTTTATTGTTTGCTTCTGAAAATTCTTTTATTAAATAAAATTGTTTTAATAATTTGGAAATGTAGTTTAAAATCCAACATTTTTATATTGTAATCTTTTTATTACATAGTTATTAAGCAATTAGTCTCTAGAAATATAAACTAAAGTTTATTTATTTATTCTTGACTAATGCTCATAATAGAGGAGTAAGTCTACGACAGTGTACCCTCCTGTGACAAAAGCTAGCTGAACACATTGGTTAGTCATACTTTAGGAATATATTTATTTATAGAAAGGCAAGCAACATCTAATGAAGAATTACTAATGAAAACTTTAATTTCATTTGAATGAATGAAAATTATAAAAAGAAAATGTAGATTAGATTATTAATACTTTGTTTTAGTTCCTCAAGTAAGAAACATTGTGAATTTATTTAATAAAATAAAAAAGCAAATCTATATAATATTTCCATATCTACAAAAACTTTTCACAGAATAATTTAAAACTTTTATCTTTAAATTTTCTAATTTCAAACATTCCATCATTAAAACAAACATGAGAATGGAAAGCAATATTAAAGCAAAGAACATCTCTGAGAAGCAATAAATATTCCTGCAAATAATGTTAAATTTGAAAGAGTTAAAAAGTCAACAAAATCAATAAATGAAAAATTGATGAGGGTTATAGAATGTCAAGGAGTTTATATTAACACATAAAATAATTTATTCAGGGAAATGGAATGTTATTCAAATTTTTCTCTCACTGATATGTTTTAGATTTATTTATAAATTTATCCTCTTATAATTGTTGAATATAGAAGAAAGGGAACTTAGTGGATATAGTTTTTAAATTCTAGCACATAAAACAAACAATAAGCTTAGTATATTTATATATTTCAACATGTTAGATTGTACAGTATTAAAACAATTGCTATAAAAATGATTTTATATCATCTCCAAATTTCAAAATGCCAAGAAAATACAAAATTGATAAATTCTATACAAAATTAAGATATTCTAAATGTGTTATTGAATTTATTCACTCAATGATGTAAGAACATCCATTTTCTTTAACATGATCATTACACAATTATTTTAATTGTGTAATTCTTTGCAACTTTTAATAGTTGATAATAAATTTTTTTTTAGAATTTTAGTTTTTTTTTGAAAATATTAGAAAAATACTTTTGCATACATTGATGATTTTAATAATTTTTATTATTTTTTTAAAATTTTTTTTCTTTTTTTCTAGAAAACCAGTTTTTATATTTTTCCAATATGATTTGTTCAGAAAGCAATGTTTTTTTGTTTTTTTTTAATTAAAAAAAAGTTCTCTTTAAAAAGAAGCCTTTAGTCTTGATTTTCTTTTTCTAAAATTAATTTGATCTTTTGCGAAAAAACTTTCTTTAGAAAATGTCAAAATATCAATGTTCCAAATTTTTTCTTGGTTACACAAAAACTTCATTGTTTAACTGTCTATCTGTTATAAATATTACAGAGGGATAAGAATTTCTACGGACAAAGGAATGATTTTTATTTCCTGAATTCTGGATAGCATTCTGCCCACAATGTGGACTGTCCAAAGAAAAATTTGACTCACTTTCAGGCATCAAATCCAAAGATCTGGAGCGGGATGCTTGTAAAAATTGTCTATCAGCTGAGAAGTGCCGATATCTAATATTATTATTTTTAGAATCTTTTGCAATAAGATTCTGCTCTCCTGAGGCGGGATTGGATTTGCTGGAGTCAGCACCAGAAAGAGTAAAACTGTGATTATTTCGATCAAATTGGGGAGGATCTTCACTTGTGTTTTTCCTTAAAGATGGTGTTTCTCTATTCAGTGCACAAACAAGTTGTGTTCCCATGACGGGTTCCTCTGCAGCAATTTTATTATTGTCTGTGTCTAGTTCATTTCCCTGTTCAGATGTTGAAGTTGATCTGTCCACCGTCCACTGACTCAAGCTGTTTGTAAGTGACTCACAAATTGTTGCATATATATTCTCTGAGTAGACAGTATCAGATCCTGATCCGGAAATTGAAGTTTGGTCCTCAGAAGTTGGAACTCTACAGGTGTTGGAACTGCTACTGTCAGTTGGAATGGTAGAAAGATCACTGGTATCATTATCTGCTATGTTATTGTAGATATTTACTTCATTCTCTCTCATATATTCGGAATAAGGTGGTGGTGCTGAATTATCCATCAGATCTTGTTGTGACCAGTTGAATGCCTATATATATATATACACATTGTTAATGAAAAATTACAAAGATAACATGTATGACATACTAAAATCCTGTACACAAGGAGAAAGTACATTTTATCATATTTTATAACTGCATCATAAAAAGCGCATCCAATTATATGCATATTAATTCACACTGTAATCACAATCTAAACCTCAGATGAGTCTTCATAATATTGATTAAAATTAGAATATGTATTGCATTGTAAGATGTAGTTACTATGTAAAGATTGTAGTTACAGTGTGAATTAATACAAATATAGTTGGATTTTGTGTTTTTATCAGATCTTTGTAACATGATGTACAGTAGAATGTGCATTGTAATGTAAGGTTAATAATTGTCACATTGTGTCACAAGTCTTGTAACCTATTAGAGACAAAGGGGAATCACAAAGCATTTGTGTAGGCTTGGGAGTAATGAATTGTTTTCCACCCTACAACCCCTTTCCTCACAGATGAAATGTTGCTAACCTCTTGTTATTCTGTCAATATTTTCATAATAGATGTTAGGAGTAAACTAAAAGCTTTGTTTTCACCAGTCCAGACTTTCACTGTTAAGATGTGTAATGCCGTGTACACATAATGTCAATTGAACAGATGCAACTCCCCTGACATGTTAACAATGTCAGTTTGTAAGATGTTAGTTTCTCCAGACAGCTTGGAAATATTTAATGCAAGGCCTTAAAAAATGTGGGGCCCATAGCCTTTGCAACTTTTGCTTTTAGGATGAGTTGATTCTATCCTCATTCCCTTCATATTCCATCAGTAAGGAGAAAGTTCCACTCAGACAGCTTCTTTCCCAGAACTGTTGCACTATGCAAAAGACTCCTAGAAGGATGCTTCTCTGATCACTACAATCATGTTTCCTTTCAGGCTGGTTTTAAATTCCGAGTTTTCCTTTTCCTAAACTGGTTGCCACCTCAAAGTAAGCAATCCCAGAGAGCCCTGCTATTTAACCCATAGCAGGGGGAGGGGGAGAAGAGATGGATTCATGCCTTTTCCAAGGGTATTTGTGCATAAGTGAATATAACAATAGCTCAGCTGGCTAAGTTCTCTTTCCATGTCGTTAACCTTTACACTACCTGCACATCCAATACTGATTTGCAATAAGTATTCAAAAAAGTTCAAAATCATCAAAAAGTACCTCTAGTAAATATATGTACAAGATCTTGTACATCATTAATCAAATATACATATGTATAATTTCTAAATATTTTCTAAATGATTAGTTAAAACTTTTGATAATGACTTTTTTTTTTCATTTCATGGTCGGCAGGCATATAAAATCCTTTACTGTTTCTCACTCAGTACGTGCTCATCAATTTCTCTACTTGTGCTGCACCATCCACTCATCCTTGACTCACTGAACTTAAGCATCAGGTTAAGCAGAGGAAAGGAAACCAACCAAGATTCAGTCAGTAACAGTGAGAAGCTCAATGCCAAACTCCATCACAAGTAAACAACTTTGGGAGGTGTGGTGTATAGGTCAAAGACAACTATTTGCTTTTGTTGCATGTAGTTCAGAATCTCCTCGATTGTCCCATTTCAAATAGACAGCAACCAACAGCCTTCAATCCAAGTGTTGTACTGCTTGAAACTGCAACCTTCATTGAGTAGTAAGTGCCACCCAAATTTAAATACCATGGACAAGATTGATAATCAACAAGTACAGTGAGGGAAAGTAGAAGAGAATTTTAAAAGCTAATGAGACTTTCACAAAATTTTATTTCCACACTTAGACATTTTATTTAAAATCAGCCTCAATAAAAGGATTTCAATGTTGAAATGTTTAAGTATGAGTTTGGTTATACTTAGTAATTTCACATTTACCTAAGTAAAAATGACATGACAAATTAAAATATGATCAAGGCCTATAGCATATGTTATAAAGGGACCCTAAATTAAAATATATATATCAATATTAAATCATAAATTATTTACTAGCATAATAATAAAAAAGGTAAATATTTAAATTTTATCAACATAATAAACAAACTCAGAAAAATATGAGACAAATCATTCTAACATATACATAAGTAGATTTAACCGTCTCGATAATGTCACCTGAAAAGATGCAACTCCCATGACATGTTAACACTGTCAGTTTGTAAGATGTCAGTTTCTCTAGACAGCAAGGCCTTCAAAAATGTGGACCCTGTAGGCTTTGCTATTTTTGCTTTTAGGTTAATCTGGCGTTGAATATAATCCCAAGATAAAATCAAACTATCCAATTGAACAAAAACTTACTTACTTGAACAGAAACAAAAGACTTCTTAGAAGTGATTGTTCAACCATTGTTATCAACAAGGAAATGCTCAAAAGTTCTTGACCTGACTCACTTCTTAAAATTTGAACTACTGTATTTGACAGCATATAAGGCACACTTTTTTTTTTTTTTTTACTAAAAATATCTTTTAAAATTCCCCTGCATTTTATATGTCATATGTAGGTTTACTAATTTTACTAACTACTAATTTTTTCTTTTTTTTGTCTTATACACCCGTGCATCTTATATGGTCATACAAGAACATTCTTTGCATCCATTTGTACATTTGTAAAGACTGGATAGATTTCTATGCAACTTGTGCCATTTATATATAATAGCAATTTTATTTTGTTCATCAAAATTATTTAATCAACAATCGTGGAAACAAGCACTTCTTAAATGATAATAAAATGAATATTTTCCATTGGCTGTCTCAAACACTTACCAAATTCCAGTTACCTTGAGGGGGCGGAGTATTCATAACTTCCTCATATGTTGGTGGTGCATCTATTTCCTCTTCGGATGTAATATCCATACCAAAATGATTCCAGGGATCTATTTAAGAAAAATTATTATTATATGATTTATCCAATGCAATCTTAAAAATAGAGTTACATTGTAGAATAGTGTGTCATGTTAACCTTTATCACTCTGTATGTGACTTCATTTGCTGTACAAAATGTTTATCTTGCCACTGAAAATGACTTTGATCCCTGAACAATAGTGTGTTTGAATTTCATAGTTGTGTTGTATAGCAGAAGAAAACCACTTTAAGTGAAATTAACAATAAGGTTACTGCAATTGAGAGGCCTTGAAAAAGAATGCAGTGGAAAGGGAAGTAATATTAATAATGCAGAGTGCTAAAGGTTAACTAAGCAACAGGCAGAAATAATCTTGGAATTGACTTATAAGCACAATTTCTTGAATACTGTAAAGAAATACTGGCTTCATGTTTGCCCCCCCCCCTCCCAGTATTTCATGTGAAACAAATTCCTTTTTTAGGCATTTTAAGATTCAGATTCTACTTTTTTTGGGACTTTGAAAAACGATAAAATTTTGTTTCAACCAATGAAAAGTTATGTCTTCAAAAATGAATTCCCAAGGATCTGTCATTAAATGATAATTATCCCTTTAACAATATTATTCTTTGAATCTTGTTATGAAATGTAGATTTTAAAAGAACAGCTGATTTTCTGTCACACTCTCAGCATGTGACTCTGCATGTACATATGTTATGTATATGTGTATATCTGTATTGTGCATGTATAACTTAAAATGTGTTTGTGCCATTTAATGTACACACAACTTGATTGAGTTTGAAATAGACATTGGAAGGATACATTCTCTTCCACTTAGTTTCGACAAGCACTCCTCTGGGCTGAGCAATAAAAACAAACTTAGAGACAAGAAAAAAAATATTATTAATTTTTTCTAAACCCAAAAATGTCAGTTAATTTTATTGAACTTTTTGAAAATTATTCAGTAATAATAGAATTATTTTTAAAGCTTTTAAAAAAAAAATTGTAGAAATATTTTTAGGTCTGTCACTGAATAAAAATATACATGCACACACACACACACGCACACACACATATACACAATTTGAATGAAACTGAAACCAACATCTGTGTTACAAAATTTAATTTCCCCTTCTTCCCTTTTTTTTTTCCTCTTTTCTACCCCTACGTAACAGAAAAAGAATATAAGCTGGCATTCTGAAGTTATTTTTATGACTCATCCTGCATTTAAACTGGATATATTTCCTAATAAATGTAGTATTTTAAATAAATAAACAATTTACATTTGAAACTTGATTATTTTGCTATCAGAAGAGTGACACATACCAAACTAGTTTACTATAAATTATGGTGAGTTTAATTTTAAAATTTGATCACTAATAAAAATGACCATTGCATTTCAATCAAATTTATCTGTCCCATTCAAAATTTTACCTGGGAATGAGTTTAATTAATATTAACAGCATTAAATAAGTATTTGGTCATTTCTTTTTTTAATTCCATTTTTTTTTCTTAACATAATTTTAAAATAACTTCAATTTTTAGGTTAATAAAATTTGTAGAAAATTAAGGATTAAGTGGAATTTTTTCTTCTCGTCAACTGTAAACAAAGATTATCATATTTTAATTCTGATTGTTCATCTATTAGTTAGCCCATGCATTACATGCTGCCATTACCATAGATAAATAATGGACCATTCCTTCTTGATTTTGAGGAAACATGGAAAGAAAAGATATATCAGAGACACTTTTTAGTTTTAACAAGAAAAAGAAAGCATGCATAATAATAAGAAAGAAAGTTAAAATAGAGGAGGTGATAAAGCTCTCACGTTTAAATGCTTCAGTGAAATGGAAAATCTTGTCAATTTTTAATCTTTTTATTTGTACCCTCTTACTTCTTTAAATAATGAGCCATATTCATATTTATTATTGTTATTTCAATATTCTGTTAAAGTTGTCAAGCTGAAATATTTAACTGTGCAATAGGGGAATTTTCATGAATAGTTTATAGTTGTTGAATTTGCAAGAAACTTATTCAACCATCAACATAAGAATTATGATTTATTAGAAAATTGAAATAGGAAAACCATTGAAGTTTCATAGATACTGCTAGTCATAAATAATAAGTAATAATAGTGGTAACAACATCAGTAACAACCTGAAAGATGTAAAATCAATCCAGCATTTTGATAATTTAATATTCTTTTCTTTGCTTTTTTTAAATGAAAAGTTTTATTTTATTAGATAAATTGCTGTGCATAACCCCCCCCCAAAAGAAGTAAAAATCTCCTATTTCTAAAAATCTTTATTTTTTGACGGTTGCCGGTATTAATCTCAATAAATTGTAACTAAAATTGCAATTTCTATTTGATTTTTTCAGTTATCTTTATATTAAATAATTTATTGAAAATTATCTACTTACATTGCCGAGATACATTTCCACTGACTGATGTTACTCTTCTTTGACTGTTAGGAATTGGTCCTCGACTTATCTTTCTAAATCTGCGTATAAAGACGAAGAACAAACAGAGGATGATAAAGATGAAGATTGTAATCACAACAGGGATGATGATACTCACACTCCAGTTTGATGTAAATTGGTTGTTAGGAATGTTATCTTCTGAAAGATGACAATAAAAAAAAATACAGTTAAACGTTTGTTTGTCTTATAATAACTCAAATCACAATAACAACAACTAACCTTTTCAATATGAGACTAGTTGGCCAATGTGTAAACATCATTTTACAGGCTTATATATTTTAATACGGTGATTTTGTTACGCTAACAAAATGTTGAAACTTAAACTAAATGATTATAATTCATGTTCACATATTACCACATATGGTAATTAAGTATGTTAGATTATAAAATTCTTGGGTGGCAAGTAAAAAGGTGACAAGTTTATAATAAATGGGGACAGTGGAAAAAAGTCAAAAAATGTAATAAATGGGGAGGTAGGAAAAAATGAAAAAATCTAACCAACAAATAATAAATGTTGCAGCTGAGAAATGATTAAAAATAAACAAGATTTCATAAGAATATAAATAATTGACCGTCAATGTCTTTAAGTAAAAATCTTTAACAAAATTGAAAATATTTCCATGAAGTTGAACCAAAATTACAATATAAATAAATGTCCAACAAATAAATAATATAACACATTCCCAAAATAATATCTTAAAATCTGTTGCATGAGTGACTGTAAATAGTCAAAAATTAATATGCAGGAAGGTCCTAATAATTTCCAGAGGCTTCTTAATAAAATAATAGAAGGGAACTGGAGCATTTTTGATCCCTTAATTCCATATATGCATGGGACTCTTCCATTTTAAACTTAGCCTTATGCCATAATCCATTTGAATGGGCACACTGATAAATCTTAAACATTTTACCTTAAATGAAAATTTTATTCCATATGAGCTTTATCAAGATGCAAGTTGGAAACATAATGAAAATACTGCATGGACCCCAACATTAAACTCTTAAAAATAAATAAAGGATTCCAGTAAATATGCTAAGGATCCTCTTAAGCCTTAAAACAAGCACATTTTTCTTCTTTTTTTTCTTTTGTTGGGGGGTTAGTTAATAAACTTTCTGGATTTTCAAATAGTAAAAGGGAACAAAGTGAGTTCAAATTTCGTTTGAGTCTGTTGTGCACATTTGCAAAAATGCCATTGTGAAAGGCATGAATTCATGGATTAAACAGCAGGGCAGCTTTGGCGAATGACAGGTTTACTATGAAACTAAGGAAGATTAAGCTTCAGGGCCCCTAATCCCAAAGGGAGCCCTGAAGCAACATTTTTTAATGAGTGAATTTTTTCAACAAAATGTTTTTGTTTAAAATGTTTATTATTAAAATAAGGCCATTTTAGTGATAGAATCTTTTGTGATATCAATAAACACTCATTGCCACTTTTGTAATGTCAATGAATACTCTTTGTCACTTTCTTAATGCTCATTGTAGTAGAGACTTTGTAATTGCAGATACAAGTATAATAATGCCGTTGAACAATACTGGCATCAGATGCCTTGGAATAACACTGGCACTAATAGTACTTTGCTCGATAATACTCCCTCTAAAAGTAACCACCGAATAGTGATCCAAATAGTAATCAAATTTTTCTTGGGGGTCTTGTAGCACCCAAAATCCCAGTTGTATGGTCTTGTTGAGCTCACAAGAATCTATCCATAAACTACATTTTGGCAGTTGAATCCTCAAATCTGTAAAAATGTAGGTCCACCACTGGGTGGGGCACTTTAGCCTTGGGGATAAGCCAATGCAGAATAAGGACAATTCTGAATTCAAAACCATGAAGAAAACAATAAGAAACCACTTGACTATCTTTCCCAAGAAGTCACAGCAATTTGCACATAATAAAGAAAATGAATCTGTGGAGAGCCATGATTGCCTACATCCTGAAGAGATATGGCATTTTTTTTAGAAAAAAGGAAAACTCCTAAGAGGTACACATAGAAGTTTACTTTATGGCATTAATTTCCAACTGTTGCCATTTAACCATTAATTATATAAATTTAATTGAAGTGTTTGATAAAATATAAAGATCTTAACAAAGTCCAAAAATTAAAGAGAAATATTGTAAATCATTGATAGAAAATAACCTTCATTTAAGCAATTTTTAGAAATACAGTATATCTTCATAAGGTGCAAGGATGGTGGTTAGCAACTCTTTAGGATAAAAAATAATACCTTCCATAGGATTGACAACTTACCCACCAAGGGGAGACATGTACAACAGGTGTCACCAGTCATCCCTCAACTGTGAAATGAATGTAAGGAATAATGGCATGAAGGGATTTAACTTTCTTGGGACCAGTAAAGAGACGTACACAACAGGCAAGCCGAATACAAATTCTGGCCAAACTTGTTGGTGACTAAACCGGCATCAAGCTTGTCTATTGGCAGTAGATAAAATGTGTGTCTATAAGTTGTCTTGCATGTTTAAATGAATTTAATTATACAAGGTAACCAAAAAAATTCTGTCCGTTTTTAAAGGAAAAAAAAAAGAAAACGCTTCACAGTATGTGTACCTTATACCATTGTACCAGTGCTGGCTCTTTCTGGCACAATGCCTGTTGCACACGTTTCAATTGTTGTGAGTATAGGTCTCCAGTGACTGTTTGGCCCGTTGGTAGCAGTTCATAATGAACCACTTGATGACCTGTCCACCAGACACAAAGCATAAGCTTGCGTGGGTGCATAGGCGGTCTTGTGGTGTGAGGGACAGCATCCTGAGGAGACAACCAATGTCTGGAATGCTTGGGAGTTTCGTACAAAAGCCACTTTTCATCACTGGTAAGCACTCTATTGAATAAGGATGCGGTATGGTGGCGAGAAAGCAGCGATACGCAGGCTGCCACTCATTGTCACTTGTGGACCTCCAACAGTGGAACCCACTTGCTCAGTTTGTACGTCTTACCTAGGCAGTGCAGGTGAAGTCTAACTGTTTCATTGGAAACGTTAAACTGTCTTGCAAGTCCACCACACGTTAGACTACTGTCCTCTTCAATGGCCGCCTTCAGGACTCTGTCATTCAAGACCTATGGTTGTCCACTGCGAGGCTCATCATGGAGAGACAAATCTCCCGACTTGAATTTTCAAAACCAACGCCTTGCAGTACGTTCATCTACAGCACTATCCCCAAACACTTGACATATGCGGCGACTTGATGCAGCTGCTGATAAGCCCACTTTGAAGTTGTAAAGCAAACAGCCCCGAACAAGATCTCTAGACACTTCCATCCTTCTCACAGCTGTCCGACTTATGGCCGGGCATGGTGCACATGTTTTTTATAACGTCTGATGTTCCTACTTCCAACTGTCTGAATTTGAAAACAATTGTTACACGCATTTCATATATATTTCAACTTCATTCAATGACTAATCAAAAAACGGACAGAACTTTTTAGTTACCTTGTATTTTACATTTATCTTTAAGTCTACATAGAAATGTCTGCCAGCTGATTTTTACATTGCTGATTGTTAGTAACTTTTGGTGTTAAAATATATTCTTGAAATTCTTTCTTTTTAATAGCATGGCTATACTCAGATGCCTCCCAAATGGCAAGTAATAGAGATAATTGTACAATATCCATTCAACTAGAAATCAGAATATTAGAATGTCAGAGTTGAAATCCATTTTTCCAAGAGAAAATGCAGCTTCTTTAAAGAAACTCATCATTTCGTCTGTGATAATCATCATGTAGACATTATTTTTATGTCATGTCACTTCCTGATGTTGACAGTCATGCTTCTCCACAGATTTCTTCATCTGTGAATTGCTATGCATTTTTAGAGAAGATAGTGAAGTGATTTCCCATTGCTTTCACCACAGTTTGAAATTCAGAGTTTTCCACCACTGATTGGTTGCCCCCACCCAAGGCTAGTGAGCCCATTTTACCCTGTTATTTAATCCATTGTTGGGAGGAGAAGAGATGCATTTGTTGTTTTCTCAAGAGTATTTAGACCAAAATGAACGCAACAGACTAATCCAGAATTTGAATGTGCCTTGCAAAGTACATTTTCTGTACAGATACCTGTTAACCTAACTGACACATTCCATGCAGATATACAATCAATAACAGAAAAACCATCTAAAATTTTATACTTTCATTTCTTGGATTAACTGTCATTTTGTATCAAAAAAAAAAAAAAAGCAATTTTGAAAAAAAATCATTTAAGCAGATGAGTGTCCTAAGCTCATGGAAAATATTTTTTTAAATATATTTGGTCTAAATAAACTTTTAATTTGCAATGATGCATAGCAAGTAAAATGTACGTACTATCATTTTTTTCACATTCCATTTCATCAGATTTATCCAGACAGTGATTTACACCATCACACTTAAGAGTTAATTGAATACAAAAACCATTTTTGCACTTGAAGGCATATGGACAAGTCTCAACTGGAAGTAAAAGAACAAAAATAGTTACAGATTTATTGAAAAGGGACGGAAAAATCAACAAAGAGACCATGCAGGGCTTAACTGAAGTTTTTAAATCAACTTGAAGAAGTTTAATAATTTGACTAAAAACTGAAAACAAATAGTGGGATGTTTATACTAATTTTATTTTAATCTCACTATTGGTCAAGTTAAGAGGGAAATTTACTTTAAACCTCTTAAAGATTTGAAAATATCATTTAGAATTCCAAGTTAAAATTTGCAGTTATACTTTTTTTTCTCTTTTCTTCTTTTGTTATAATCAGCAATTAAACTGGCAACCCTGTCCCTTTTCATGGAATGCAAGGATAGTGGTTAGCAACCCTGAAGGATAAAAAGTAATACCTGTTAAAGAGGGAACTCTTGATCAGTCCCTGACCAGCTAACTACAATTGATATCTCAATAAAATCACTATGGAGAAGGCAACAGGATACCATTCCACTATTAGTCATAAGAAAATTCATAACAATGCACAAACTAAATATAAGAGTTACCAGCATGAAGAAGGGTTTATCCTTGGATTGGCTTTTGTTAAGGAGAATACATTAACAGGTGTCACCTGACTGTCATCCAATGACTGTTTGCAAAAAGAATTTAAGGAATAATGTCATGAAGGGTCTCATGTTCATTATGACAGAGCCATAGCCTCGTAAGAAGAGCCATGTATAACAGGTGTCACTGAACTGTCATCCAGCACAACAAACAAAAAAGTGTAATAGGGACATGGAATGTAAGAAGATTACATTAAAACTGATAAATATTTACACTATTTACATTGTTCAGACTGTTGTCCTCATCTTTATTGTCCTATTACCGATGTTTTGACCATTGTATGTATCAGCCTTCTTCAAGTGATATAAATTAGAATTTCAAACCAAACCGTTTATTTCATTCACTGGGGTAGATTGCTCTAGTTCCACGTGCCATGCCTTTTTTTAATATCTCAGTTTTAGTTATTTCTCTTTAGAAATTCTACTCTCCAAGTTTTTGTTCACCTCTGATGTGGCCAGGGATTGAACTCACAAGTATTTGGGTCAAATCACTGCATTACTTCAATCAACACTATTAACCACCGGGATATGTGTTCTTGGAGATGAAATAAAGTGTTTGGTTTCGAAATTCCAACATATATCACTTGAAGAAGCTTGAGTGTATGTATAAAGATGAGGACAACAGCCTGAACAATGTAAATATAAGTTACAATACCTCATCTCAGAAATATAGACAGATGTTAAAATTGATAAGTCTTACAGAACATTGGATAATACTAAAACTCAATGTAAATCACAGGAAATTACTATTATCATGGAAGACCTAAATGCTAAAGTAGAAGATGAGGAAATGGTTGGCAAGTCTGGACTAGGACAAGGATCTCATAATAAGAGTACAGAGAAAAATGGGTCCAATGTGCTCAGCAAATGATCAAATAATAATGAACACCTGATTTCAAGAGCACTTGACATGGAGAAGCCCAGGAGGAGACCTACAGAATCACATTGACTATGTGGTAATGGTAATAGTAATATTAGCCATTTCGTTATAAGGAAATATTTGGCATTAATTGACTGCGCAGCAAGTACAGCTTTCAGTTGAAATTTATAAAATCTTTCTTTTAAAACAGTTTTTAAGGAAAATAAGTTTTGTAATTGATTATATCATTATTTTCTCTTTGAGCTATACATGATATCCATTTTAAAAATGCTTCTGTTAATAGTTCTCAAGTGATATGTTGTCTGTTATTCAGTGCAGTTCTTTGCAATTCTATAGTGTTGGTTCATAAGGTTTGAAGGCTTCACTCACTCAAAGCTATTTTTAGCCATCAATCTGAGAAAGCAGTTGTATACAGCTGATAGTTTAGATATTTCTGAATAGGTTTGGTGCCATGAAGATCATCCATATGAAAGTCTCAATCTAACAAAACTATTTAAGAACATGACTCGAGTTGTCAATACTTTTATTTTGTAGCAATTTGTGTTGTTGGACAAAACTACCTTTAGTGCAACCTATTCTATATTCAGGTCTCCTTTTCTCTTATACTAAATTTGCTATGTAATGTAATATTTTCTGTGAAAAACATTTTTATTTTCCTTTTTTATTTTTCTATTGTGAAAAATAAACATAAAAACAAGCTCTGTCAATCAAGTAGAAATTTTAATGAAAAAAAAAAATAAAGCACTTATCAGTATTATTCATTTCTCAACAAGAGCAACATTTTTGGCTTTCTAGAATTTTTTACAAAAAATAAGATAAACACTCCAAAAAAACAATTACCAGCAGGAATCACAGAAGAATAAGCGAGTGTAAATAGATCTCCAATTTCCATTAGCCCTTTAAGTCGAATATAAAAGCCATTTGGATTTTGAGATGCAAAATTTTGACCTGGGTAAACAATTCTTATCAGTCGACCTTCAGATGTTAATCCTTCATAGAATGTAACAGCAGCAGCTGGAAAAAAAGTCAATAAATAAAAATTATAGATCTTAAAGCAGAGATTATGTTGATTCAATACAGTTTTGATTACTTTCATGATCAGCTAAAAGCTATGATCATAATTTGTGTGTGTGTGGTGGGGGGATAGATATTTAATTCACCTGGTTCATTTTTTTATACCTTATAAACAGGACATGAGGCAAAATTGATCAAAAAGTGGATATTATGAAAAATAAGATTATTACATTAAAAGGGTATGCAAGTGTCCTACCAAAAAAGAATTCCAAGTAAGCTAATGGCATACCAAAAAAGAATTCCAAGTAAGCTAATGGCATACCAAAAAAGAATTCCAAGTAAGCTAATGGCATACCAAAAAAGAATTCCAAGTAAGCTAATGACATACCAAAAAAGAATTCCAAGTAAGCTAATGACATACCAAAAAAGAATTCCAAGTAAGCTAATGACATACCAAAAAGAGAATTTTGACTATGTAATGATTATAGATTTTCCAAGTAAGCTAATGGCATACCAAAAAGAATTGAACCGTCTATAAAGCATACCAAAAAGAATTCAAGAACAAATTTCATACCAAAAAATGCCACTTGGGCTAATAGTTTTCAAAAAGAATTCCAAAAAGTTGATGCCATTAAAAGCTGATGTTTTCTCACATGGCTTTACCAAAAAAGAATTCAAGTGAATAAACACTACCAAAAATTAAATCACAAGAAACAAAACTGGCATACCAAAAAATATTAATGATGCATTATCATTAACTTAAAAGATATAGAGACTATTTTAATGGCAAATCCAAAATGACAAATCAACAATGACCTACATCCAAATGTTCCACACATAAACCAATGACATCATTGCAGAATTTGGACTAATTTCATTTTTTTACCAATAAAGAATTCTAGGTATGTGAGTAGCCTACAAAAAAAAAGAAATTCATCAGAGTGAACAGTAAATTATCTATTTACTTTGCATTGCAATAAAGTTATTCAAAGAACACAAGACAGAATAAAGCCAAACATTATTCCATGCCAACATGAGCAACTTTTCAATAAATTATGGTTTACATTTTTAAGAGAGAACAGAAACAGAAAATCAGATTCTCTTTTAAAGATTTTGTATTGCACTCGAGTCTCTCAACAGAGCATTTTATCTGCTTGATAGTCATAGGTGAAGGGAGACATTAATAATTGGTGAGGAATTCAGAATTCTTCTCAATATTCAATAAACATGGGGTGGGTGTTTAATGTGGTCAGATAATCATTTAATGGGTAAAAATGTATTAAGAAACAGAAAAATTTCATTAGAAAGAAAGAAAGAAAGAAAGAAAGAAAGAAAGAAAGAAAGAAAGAAAAGAGTACTGAACTGTTATGTAATATCAATTTTCCTATATGGTAGTAAATGCTGGACAATCTTCTCACAGATGAAGGAGAGACTTGAAACAACAGAAGGATGCTGAGAATACTATGAACTGAACATATGAACAACAATAAAATTTTAAAGAAAATGGAAATGAAAAGGACACTTATATTTAACATCAGGAAGTGATAGTTGAAATTTCTAGAGCACATAACGAGGAAAAAGAGCTTGGAAAATTTGAGACTCATAGGACAGATTGAAGACAAGACCTATCTAGTAAGTTTGAGTAAATGGATGGTGGAGCAAGATTTAGGAAAGATAACAAAAAGTCAAAATTTATTAAGAGCTACAAAAGACAGGAAATTATGTAGATTGATGATTGTCAAAGTTCTGAAAGGACAAAGAAGTTTTTAATAGACTCAGATTATTGAAAAATTTCCTCAGATATAAATAAAAAATAAACATCCTCTTTTCTTTCAGGCACCTAAGAGTATGGAGTTGAACATCAATTCTGTTTTAGTTTTTAGGGTGTTTTTTCTTCTCAGTGTAACCTTTACTCTCAAAGCTATTTAGAACTCAACTTTAACCTTTGCATAAGTAGACCAATTTCTTTTTTCTATTTTCTTTCAAAATACTATAGTAATCCCATTTGGTCATATCCACAATGCCATTTACAAGAACCCTGTACTTTACCATATCCCAGTGCAATTAAAACTCCAGTCTCCAGAGGTGTGGTTTGCAATTTGGTTGTCTCCTGTCACTTTTGCTTTCTTTATGCTGGTTTCTATATTCCAACTGATCTGTCAACTCACATTTGTGTCTTTTCTACTGACTGCATGAGGAAGTCAACATCTACTAATAGCTTTTCATGTTCTCTCTGGTTGCCGTTGTTTTTCACCAAAAGTCACTTCTAGTATGTTTCTATTTCTGCTTTTCACTTTTCCATGGGTTCCAGAGTCCGACCTCTTGAACCCCCAAAATGCTACTCACTCTTAGTCCAAAATCAAGTTGGCTCTACTCCCAGATCCCCAGAAAGTTGCATTCTATTGTATTAGTTATTCTAACATTTTTTTCTGATTTTCTCTCAAACAAACAGAGGAGTCATGGGTTTCTTTGATTTGTTTTTAAATTTTGAAATCTGTTTTATAAAATCTGATTCCAATATTAGCTTCAATTTAAAAAAACAAAAAAACACTGAGAAATAATTAGCCTATTTTTGATTAGATAAAATCTAGATGTAAACTTTATAGAAAAATAACCTACTTTTTTCTGTGCTTTTCAAATAGAAAACTCATCATATTTTGATATTTTGTATATACTTACATACTTGTATTTGGAAACTTTCTAAGTGTACAGCAACCAACTTGAACTGGGGGTGAATTAATATTACCCACACACAATCATAGTTTCCATACCGCTGAGGACTAAACTTCAGGACACCACCATAACTCATTTGAATTATACTTGATCCGCACACTATAAGAAAAATAAATAAAATATTTTTTGTTTGAATTTCTAAGATGTTGTTACCATATATTTTTATGTATAAAACTACCTTTAAGTCCCCAAAATCACCCTTAAAAATTGGGGGTTGTTTTATACTACAAAGAAACCTTAAATTCTGACTGATGTTTGTCAGTAAGCTAACCTCAGTGTGATAACCAATAACATACATGAAAAGTTTCACATTTATAAAATAAACTGATAATAAAAGTAATAAAACCAATTCTACCTTATATATTACTGGAATAACTGGCCTATTTGAAGATCCATGATCAATGTCCTGAATATCAGTTATGTGCTATGCATGATACACACTTAGGCGATCATGTATCTTTTGATACATGACTAACGAGGCAGATTCTTCCCCACAGAAGGTTGCAATTTCTTTCTGTGGTATACCAGTTGCCATCCAAGGCTATAGAATCCAGACTGTCCTGCTATTTAACCATAGCTGGCAGGGAGAAGAAGAAGAGTATTCATACCTTTTCCAAGGGTATTAGCATGTAAGTGAATGTAATCGATTCGACTGGAATCTGAACTCAGCTCCGATTTCTCAATCTGAGCCGCTATCCATTACTCCACCATGCCTCATTACAGTACATAGGTTTTCATAGACTCAAGGTGTTGAAATCAACTTGTGTGCATGGAAGCTCAGATGAGAAAATGTAAACGTCAAGTTATGATTGCATTCACAGAAAGGCATCATTATTATACTTTATCGTACTGTTATTAGCAGTATTTTGTGATTGTCAATGAAGTAAATAGCTATTAGTACACTAAGCTGTTTGTAACTGTTTAGATATAAGAAAAGAAGAGGAAGAAGAACAATCAGTTTTCACATGAGATCACATGATGAAACGTAAACAAAACAATGGCTTCCCTTTTAGATGGGTGTAGGAAAAACATGATATAGAATTGGTTTTGTTTATTTTGAATTTCTAAGGATACAGAAAATAACATCATCTCCAATAATATATAATCAATAAGTAGTCATCGTATACTACAGGTATAGGACAAATCCATGAAAATTTGCTATATTTTTTGAACTCATCTTATCTAAAGGTGTGCCTTATACATGGAAATATATGATATATTGATTCAGTAAGACCTGTCTTTTTTCATTTCTATCATTTGCTTGTTTTATATTTTATCAGGTGCCTGTCATATTCAGTAATGTCAATCAAAACATTTTATTTCATCCACACAAGAATACGTGCTTCTTATTCCTTACATTTAATGCCCTTTCTTTCAATGCCATATTGCTTTACCAATCAGCTGGCTTATCTTTCAGCACTACCTTAATCAATACTTGAACTAATGATTTCCAAATGACCTTTACCAGCATTTTGAGCCACTTGGTTATGTCTTGTATGACACTAAAGGTGATTGTATTTTCGTAGCCTCAATGTCTGTTCTTTCCTAAATACTGGCTCCTATATAGTATTGACATCTATGTGTAATCTGCTGACTAGATAATTTTAGCATAGCATGTCTACTTCTGTCAATTACTTTATTCTTATTGTTGTTTGATGATTTCTATTTTCACTTCCATAGAAGTTAGTGTCATCCCTATTCTCTCCATACATAATCAGGTGACAATCACTCTACCATATAAAAGAGGCATATCAGAAAAGGATTTGCAGTCCATATAATAATATTAAAAAATAATTCCATTCTACATAGATATTTTACTAGAGTTAAAACATCAATGGATGAAAACAAAATCAAGAACTGTATCTATAACAACCAGTTGTGGCAGAGAATACAAAGGTAAAACCAGCCATCTTCTAAAGTTAAGGAACTTGAGAAATATCAGAAAGCTGAAATCCAATAGAAGCAATGTACATACTAAACTGTGGATCAAATAAAATGGTCTATTTGACATTACAAGAAATCTTTAAATAAAATTTTTATTTACAGGCATTATCAAGTACAATGTTTTGATTTGGCACTTTAATGACAATTTGTCAATAGCTAAGCTGATATTATTATGAGCTTAGTAGATAAGTAATTAAGTAAGAGAAAAGATAATTAAGAGTGATATTTCTTGTTGCTGATAATTAAAACTGATAATCATTTTTACTAAACAATTAAAGTTAACTACAATTTTTTCAAATTAATTTTAACAACTAAATATCTGCAAAAAGAAAAAGAAAAATTCCTAATATGAGGTCTAATCAAAAAGTATCGGATATGTTGCTATGGTAACGAAGCTAAAGTACACAAAATGAAGCCACTTAATGCAGAGTGACCTTGTTATAGTGTTCTCACTAACTTCCATTGTTTATAAAAGTGTTTGGATGAAAACGTGTAGAGCGTTACCACACCACGGATTTTCCATAAGTGACCATGGCTTGTACAGCAGTTTTAGCCAAGTACAACGTTTTTTAAAATTATAAAGTGAAAAAGACAAAATCTTCTAAAAGCCTAAAAGGTTATAATTATAGAAAAATATCTCAATCTTAATCAATATTATTATATAGAGTTATTTAAACTTACTTGAGTTTGGAGGAGAAGTAATTGAAGTGCCTGTTAAAAAAGTCAGAAAACACATTTAAAGATGGTAAAAAATGCCTTTCATTTATTGCTTCTAGACACATGAAATGCTACTATACCATGCCCCACAAAAAAATGCAATACAAATTTTTATACACTGAAATTTCAATACATAATCATAACATTATTATGTGTGCTTCTTATTGCTTTATAAAATCAATTTGATATTCTGCACAGATATGAAATCAAGATCAAGTTTGAATAGGAAATTTCCTAAATCTTAAATTTTATTTAACTCAAAACAGAAAAGCACTATTTGTGTCACAAGTTTAAATTAGAAGTTTTTTTATGGTGACGCTATTGCTACATTTAAAAATCATACATTTTGATTAGAAAAATATATAGAAAATTTAATCAAAGTAAAAGAAACTGATGTCCATGTTATTGCTGAAAATATACATGAAAAAAGAATCCATTATTAAATAGGTAACCATTTTGATTTCCCTGTATCACATTCAATATTTGTGTTATTCTATTTGTATTCAGATATCTTTGTTGCAATAAGCAAGACACAAATTAACCCATTAACTGCCAAATTTTTTTAATGTGCATTTTCAGCCTAGACAGGTGTCTTAGGAGTTTATTTATTCCTTATGTTTAATTTCAGCAGTTACCATTGTCATTTTTATAGAAACTAGAACATCAAATATATATGTGTATAAAACATTAAAAAAATAATATTGATTAGAAATACTAAAAAAATACTTTTCTAAATAGTCATTATTTTTCTACTTGTGAAATGTAAAATTACAACAGAAAGTGTCTTCTTATGGCTAATAATAAAAATTTAAAGGCTAAGTATTGTAAAATATACCTCTGCAAATGCAATGTATGTAAGCAATTCAATGTAAATACAAGGAATAACATGTAGTGAGTTTAATTTTAACAGATCCCCAAATGGGGCTCATGGCAGGTTAAGGCTTCTTTTAAAAAAATGACATTCAAATAAGAAATATGAAAAATTAAGAGCAGCGGAGCAAATTTGTCAATTCAAATCACTAAAAAACTAAAATTCAATGAAACTTATAACAAAAATTTCTTTTTAATGGAAAATGGAGAAATATTAAATTTGACTTGAAATTAAAATTACACAAATGGGTAATTTTCATGGACACTAATTTTTAATGTGATTAAATTAACATAAAATATATAAAGAAACAATTTTATGAAAAAAATTTTAAATGTTTTTAAATTTTCTAAAAGAATTGTTACTTTGAACATTTATTTTCACTGATCAAAAGAAACATCGATGATCATTTTATTGGATGATAAAAGTTAATTAAAAGAAAGATTTTATACTTCTGCATTTTATTACAGCTTTGAATCCTCGCACTAAATCGAAACGGCGGAAACCAAGATTCATTCCAGTGTTGAAGACCACCTGAATAGAAACAGGAGTGGTAAAGATCGGTCGAGATGAATTACCAGAAAAGATCATTGGAGTTGTTGTAGTGTATACCTGAAATGTTAAAATAAGGAAAAAATGCACTTATTGAGAGCTTAACACATTGCACATGAGGATTACTTTAGAGTGCAATTAGAACACAGTCAATTTTTATAGTAATGGTTAGAATAACAACAATCTAAGTAATTGACACAATTTCATCTTCCTTTCCTTATGCCAAAAATTAAGCCTTTTTTCTGCTGTACTGCAATTGCATTGTTGTCTGACTATACTGGCCCATTTTGGAAAAAAAAAGGAAATTGCAATTTGCTGAAAATAAATGACTATATAGATGCTGATGGTAATTTCCAATTGGTGCCACCATTTTGGTCTCAGTCAGATACTCTGCAATACAGACTAAGCTAAAAAAAGCTCTAAACATTACAACCAACCCAATATAATCAAAGTGTCATTAAATAGATTTTTTTTTCTATCTTGGTTTGGAAATAACACTGTACTAGCTAACTTATAGGGACTGATATTTCATATGGTCTTGAAAACACACACACAAAATCATATATATATATATATATATATATATATATATAAAAATTAAAAGAATATTTAAGCCAACACTTTTATTTGCTTTACTGTTCAGCTATGAACCTTGCTGAACTGTAACTCTTTTCTTTATTAAGATTTCTTGAATGCACAGACCAATTAACATTATACACACTGTTTAAAACAAAAATAAAAATGGGGCATCTCTGTATTTCAAATATGAGTATTCGCTATTTATTTAAAATATGTTTTTACATATACAAAAGATTAATGTAAGAAGTAAAAAAAAAAGATAAAAATTGTTTTTATCCATCCAAAACAAATTTTCCTTATGCCAAAAATTACAAAACAGACAACAGCTTAGTTCTGGCTCTCAACATTAGTTTGGGCTCCTTGTGATACTATTTGAAAAGTACTAGTAGTAAATTGAAAAAAAATTAGAAGACAGAAAAACAATTATTTCCGATAAACTGAAGATATACTGATGATCAGACGAAGGAAAATAGACAAAGAGTGGCAATTAAATTGTTTCGTCTGCCAGAGATGTAAAATAAAAGAGACTATCTGGCTTTGGTCAGAACAAAGATTAAGTGATGGCATATTCTTAGAGGTCCAAGGACATCCCAGAAAGAAATAGATAATATTTTTGCAACCATTGAGTGATTGGAGAGGAAGACAGGCTGTGAATTTAGTTGATAAGCAGACAAGTTTTCAAAAGAAAATAGGAAAAAATGGTAATTAAATTTTTTGTCTGCCAAAACATGATAAAACTTCCCAAATCAAGGGATTGTCGCCTTTTTGTCACTTGATAGCCAAAGGGTTCAATGAGGGGATAAAAAAAATGATCAATCCCAGACACAAAAATAACCACGCACAAAAGCACGACAAGAAAGAATTTTGAACAATAATTAAAATTTGGCCATTTGGGCTAGATTATGCCTAGCCCTTGGGGGATGGGTTTGATCAGATGACCAAAAAGAAAAGGCCCAGGTGAAATTTCAGGAAAGGCAGAGGATATTCCATGCCCCTCGGGCAGTGATGGTGAGAAGCACTCACACAAAGCAGGAAGGCAGAAGCCAAAACATTGTGAGTAACCAAGATTAACAGTGCTGGTCAGAATAGAAAGACATATAATAATGATAATTTCTCATCTAAAAAATTCTGACATAATTGAATTCACAATTATAAGAGAAAGGATAAGAAACAAAAGGACAATGTATACTTACAATCAATTTACTCAGTGGACTCAATATCCAATCACTAAAATTAATGACCATATCAAAAGCATTGGGTGGCTTTATAATTCCATATATAATATCAATATATAGTCCATATACAATATCAATATACAGTCAATGACAAAATTATTCATACATACATCAATTTTGAATATTTTAACCATTTCTCAGAATCTAATACCCATATGATGCCAGGTTTTTATATGTTAATAAGCACAAAAAAAGAATTTTCACTCAATTTGACCAACAATTTTCAGAACAATAGGTTAAATACAATAAATTTGATAGGCAAATTATGCAAATTAGGAAAAGACCAAATTATTCATACAGTATGAAAAATAGAAAAAAATTAACAATTTTCACAATATTAATAGTCAATAGTCTGGACTCTCATCTTTATAACTTGCTGCAATTGTTTTCTAAAGTTTTTGATGAGATTTGAACAAGTCTTTTCTGGGTTGGATAAAAATATTCAAAATTGATGGGTGTATGAATAATTTTGTCATTGACTGTATATTGATATTATATATATAATTATAAAGCCACCCAATTGACTATATGCTGTAATGGAATGTCCCACTCTCCCTATCGGCTATTGTGGACTGACTATATCAGTAGATATGTATATAGTGTGCACAGGATATACCTGGTGGACTTGCTTCAGGAATTGCTAGCTTGCTAACCTATTCCCTGTCTTTCAGTAGTGTATTCTCTTTTACAATATACCTCTTGTTCTTTCATCTATGTGCGTAACCTTTAAGGATACAATATATATATAATATCAAAGGATAAGAAACAAAAGAAAAACGTATACTTACAATCAATTTACTCAGTGGACTCAATATCCAATCTGTAAAAGTAATGACCATATCAATAGCATCAGGTGGCTTTATAATTTCATACATGAATTGTTCTCCATTTACAGCATAACCACTTGGAAAACCAGGTGACTTCAAAATTGCTGTTGCTAGAGGATTTATTTGCTGTATTTTTCCTGTGAATAAAATAGCATAAATATATTTGGATATGAAATCCAACAAGAGCAGAATTAAAATTGATTTTATTTGAATTTGCTTTTTTTTTTTTCTAAAAGTTTTTTATATCATAAAATCTGCAGACATTCACTTTCCATGGTTCCATATTAACCAAAAAGAAAAAAAAGATTTAAAATTAATCACTGAATTATTAGAAAAAACAAAACATTTGGAAGATTATCTACTAAGCTGACCCATATTATTTCTGAAGAAATTTCAATTTTTAATCCAAGGAATAAATCTGAATATGTGATGTGAGTTTATTTAAATTGATATATCTTAAAAACTATTGGAAATCAAAATATTACAAGTTCATTTTATATGACAATTTTCTATGCATAGCTTTAGATGTGGCACAAGGCCGAAAGTATGGAGCACCTAGTGAGGATCGAACTCTTTATTCAGTCATAATTGTTCTAGTGAGACAAGCTTGCTAACCCTCAAACCAAGCCAGGGGGCATAAAGTTCATTTTATATGAATTGATTTCTCTTTCAAATGATACCAAAGTTAGCCTCCTTGTTATTATTCGCTATGAGATATGGTTATGGAAATCTACAACTCTGTAAAAGTTGTAAATTTTGGGTGCATCTAGTTGATCATAGGATGGATGTTTGCATTGTGTAGTGAAATACAGTGCTACCTTGATTGTGGGTGCATTCAGGCACTCTTAGACTGTAAGCATGTTAAGCTTGTAGATGCATTTGGACATTTCCAACCTCAAAGGATTAATTAATAATGATAACAGGCATCAATTATTTATTTTTCCTCTTCTTCATATGCAAAGTGATTATGGTTCTCTAATTTCTTCTCTTTTGTTCTGATTTTGCACTTTTACAATTGAACATCTTCTTTGTTCTTTTCCCAATTGTTCCATCATCTATTTGCTCAAACTTGCTACTTTCCTCTATTTCTCTTGCCTTCTATTGTAATACAATGGAAATGCTTGAATTGAATTAAGACATCCAAAAAGTCAAGTGGGATGTAAGTGATTTTACCTGGGCTTGGTTTGCTGACAGCCAGATTTGAGGCCTGCAAAGCAACCATTCACTATCCACAAGTAGGGAAAAAATAAAAAGTAAATAAATAAAAAAAACTTTCACAACAGCTGGAAGGTATAGAATTCCAGTTGTAGGTTCATGTAGTTAGGCCACATTCTAGAAAGAAACTGACCATTAGTGGGTGATGAGCTGTTAGCTGGACATATGATGATCAGAGGCCAGTTCCAAGCTGTCCATTTAAATATAGGCACAGTCAGAGATGGGAAGATGGGCAGCAGCTGACTGAAGGGAAGATTTAGTTTGTTAGTCTGTCATGAGAGAGAAGAGTGTAGTGGCAGAGTTGTTCAAAATGTCACTTCACTATCATGCCAGATAAATCCATGAATAAAGAACCAAGTATATCAGAATCAGAAACTGTGTTTGTTTTTGTGCTGTTTCAGATATTAGTTCACTTGTGTTTGTTTGCTGAATGTCCACTGGCCTTTCCCAGTTTTTGTTTCCACCAATGCAAATGAGAATCAAAACATTGAGGTGTGAAGTTGTCTATCCAGCAAAATACTGACCAAGAGCATTGTTTTTATGGTCACACAATATGCAATATGAGTTTTAAGGCTGATTGATGAAGTTTTCACTCGTTCAACTGTTTTTTCTTTTTGGTAATGCTATGTAAATTGGTCGACTTATTTCCTTTGGCATTTTGCCACTGTTGCATATATCATTGATCAATTTAATGTTCTTGTAAACATACAACTGTGTCCCTCAGTCAGTCTTTCACAAAATGGCTGGCTTTGCCTTATGACATGTTTCGATTGCTGTCTGCATCAATGTGAATAAAAACTGGGAAAGGCCAAGAAAGAAACAGAAAGCAAGATGGCTGCCATAGCAAGAAAAGAAAATATGAATTTAGTTTTCAATATATTGGGTTCTTTATTCATGGATTCACCTGGTGTGATCTGGGGATAGATAGGTGATACTTTAATGCTACTTCTTTTCTTATTGCACAGATTAATGGACCAAATTTGCCCATCAGTCAACAAGATCTTCAGATGCCCCTCTGTATTGGCTGTTACACTCCACATTATGACATGACACAGAACTCACCTCCAACTGCTGACTCTCTCCTCTGTCCATCTCAACAGAATGCTCAGGGCTCACCTCTGACTGCTGATTCTTTCCTATTACCCCTCTGTTCATTTCCACAGTCTGCTCATGACTTGCCTCTGACTTGCTCCAATTACCCCTTTGTTCATCTTGACAGATGGCTCAAAAGTTGCTTCTGACTGCTGACTCACTCCTACTACTCTCCTGCCTATCTTGACATCTTGATAGATGGCTTGTCAATGGTCATTATAGATTATGACTTGACTATATATTTCATAAATTGAATTCAACCTTCTGGTCAAAAGGCACTTGTTCCTGAAAGTTTCTATTTATTTATTTATTTGTTCATATAATTGAAAGTGAAAGCTTTATTAAAGAAAAATGTGCCTCTTGACAGGAATCGAACTTGTACTCCTTTTTTTAAATTTAAGAAACCACCTTCAAGCAATGTTGGCTTTAACATTCAGCCATGAGAAATCATTACAATAAAGCAAGGTTTAATTAAGAAATCTCTTTTTTACTAATGTTCACCCAATACAAAGTCCAAGAGCCACTCAAGGTAGAGAGTTACTGTGTGAAGTTATATTAGCATAGGAAAGAACAAATGTTAGGAACATAGAGCTGAAGCAGACTTAAGAAGGAACCAGAAACCCAATCCTAAACAGGAAACAAGGGATAAACTCCTACTCCTGTTCAAAAGACTGGAAAGGTGTATGAATCCAACGATAGGCGAACCTATCTACTCCCTGTTGGAACATTTTTAAATCTATATCTGCTACCTTTATTTTTGTATCTAAAATGTAAACAAAAGAGTTGTTGAACTTTATATTTAGTGGGTGCATTCATTTGAGTAATACCTGTTTTTTTTTAAAACAGTGAAATTAATCTATACTAGCCTAGAGATCAAAAGTCTTACTATTGCTGCTATTATTGCAGTGTTGCTTCACTGTGTTGTGTTAGTCAAATTTTCTCACCAGAATCTAACACATTTAAAAGTTGATCATTTGTCCATCCGTTGAATATTGCTGCCACATCTACTATGTATGAGATTTTTCATAAAATCCAAAGAATCTGCAGAGTTATTAGTCCTGACCTGGCATCTCAACTTCACTTACTTTCCCATTGCCGTAATGTAGCTTCCCTGTGCCTTTTCGATATATTTGTTTTCATGGTAATTGTTCTGATATGATTTCCTATTTGCTACCTAGATTTTGTGAATTTAAGTGCAGTATTAAATTGTCAGCTCATTTTGCAGTTGAAATAGTGAGATGTAATCATAAGTCTTTTTTATTATAGTTTCTTCTCTTGCATTTCTCACTGGTGGAACTCATAGCTTCTGGCTTTCCAGTCATGTCTGATCTTCAAAAATTTAAATGCAATGTCAATCATTAACTTTTATCTTCTTAATTTCTGTTCTTTTATTCTTCTCACTCTTTAATAAATCTGTTTCCCATGTTTCATTAACCATTTGCATCTTAGTGGCTTTATTGCCTTGCTTGGTTTGAAATGATTAAAAAAAATTAATTCCTGTCTAGAGGGAAATTTTCTTTAATAATAATTTTCTCTAGACATTAATTCCAATTGAGTAAACATCCCTGTTTAAAAAAAATAAACACTGCAATGTCTAACACACAAAAGTGCCCACTAAATATAATGTTTATCATAATGAGAAATAATGTTGGATTAAAAACTTCCATTAATTGCTTAAAAATTATTTTCCTGTGTGTCATCAAACTTTCTTTTTTGGTGCTACTATAATCAGCAGATTAAATGGTTTCCTTTCAGATTTAATCTTCATGTTTATAGGAAACAAATATGAAATACAGCCAAAGTTGGAATAAAACTTCATCTCCATTTATTATTTCACATTTGCTTTGTAACAAAACCATTGCCAATCTTATTCCCACTCTTCCTACTCATAAACAAAAATGTTAGTTTAACATCTTGTTAGTTTAAATGCATAAGCATTTGTAATTAATTATACTAATTTGTCCATATGGAACTCTGACACAATATTGTCATCCCAGTTGCGGCGCGAAGCTGTGATACTTCTTCTACCAGCGTTTTTGGGGTTGACTCTTAGTCACTGCCACCAATATGTGACCCAGTTGATCAGCGGTCATCGCTACCTGGCCTGATCCTTTGGTTAGGGTACCAAATTAGATGGTCGGTTGATTCTAACAGCTTCACACCAGATACAACTGGTCTGACACCAGCTCTGTCGTTTTCAGCTCACTTCCAATGGCTGGTTACTGAAGCAACTACTTTGATCCTATTCACGTTGTGATTTGATCTTAGGTAGACGAGATCAATCAGACATCAGGCCATAGTGTAAGATTAGTCTAAACTGGAGGTGATGCCGCACAAGTGTAAAAAAAAAAAAAGAGAAATAAATAAAAGCCAAAAAGATTTGCGTATGTTGAGAGAAAGCAAATCAACTTTTATCAGTCTGTACTATACAGAAGTATGTGTTTTTCTCAACCCGTTTCTTCAGAGAGTGACACTTTTATACTTCTTAGGCAAGTTCTGGTTTTCTAAGTCAACTGGTTTAGTTTTTAAGTGCTGGCTTAGTTTCATTCATCAGAATCACTTGCTGTTTTGTAGAAGGCGAAGTCAAAGTCTAAGATAGGAATTGTGAATCTCTTGGTTGGCCTCAGCGAGGCAACTCTCTGGTTCCTGCTAGCGAACTGACCATTTTTTGGGGGGACCCCTTCGTCTGTGAGGAGAGGTTGCAGGATAGCTGTCCTCCTAAACTCCTTCCTTCTCCCATTGATACCTCATACCAGATCCTTTCGGTGGGTGTTAGTAATTTTCCCGTCTTTCTTACCAAGGTACCTCCGCCTATCACCATTGCTACCACCCGACCAATGGCATCTCGGTCGTACGGGCATAGCTAAGCTTGCTTCATTAATTAACTCTTGACATCCCTGTTTATTCAGGATTTCTGAGTTTCAGAATTATCAACTTGTTTATGAAATTCCTTTTTCATCTTACAAACAACACATGGTCCCATGCTTCCTAAAATCTTGGGACTTCGAATGACATTTGTATTTTCTTAATCAGTATATTTAACGGTCATAATCGATCAATTGTCAAAGCTCATCACATGGCTTTTTGTGAATTTACCATTTACGCCAATCCTCGGTTTCTTGGGAAAAGTAAAAAAAAATAAAATCTTTTCATATTGAATGCCTATCTCTTGGAACATCTTTCTATGACAAACATTCTTACAATTAACACATAGTTTTGTCGCTTGGTCAACTTCTAAAATCTTTGCAATTTCGAATATTATCTTAGATTTTACTTTCTGATTCTTGTGTTTCTTAACCAGTTATCATCAATTAAAATTGTCAAAAGGCTCACCAAATGGCCTTTTTGTGAGTCCACTGTTTATGTAAATTCTCGGGTTCTTGCAAAAAGTAACTTTTCTTTTTAAAGTAAAAATAAAATCTCGGAGTATCTTCTTTTCTGTTCTCAGTATTTTCTTGTTTAATTTTTATAGTTAATTAGTTAATCAATTACCATAGCTAAATAGTGTCACAAACTAACTTAGTATTTTAAATGCAAATGTATTAAATTGTTATTTTGTCATTTTAGGCAGCTAGTTGCATTTGCCTGGCCAAATAAGAGCTATATAACTTTGCTACTCATTTATATAGGCATTTATGGTGACATGACAGTGAAGAGACTAGACAATCATAACTGTTAATAGAAGGAAGAAAAGTGAACTGATTAATAGATGGCAATTGGAATTACATCTTTACAGATTCAAATTTTTAACACTTAATCAACTGTAACTGAAAGCATTTACAAATAATTCAATCTGCTAAAGTAAAATGCTTAAAAATGTTTTATAAAAAGGTAGTTTAACTGCTAGTATGTCTTATAAATTACCATATTTTATGATATATAAGACCCACTTTTTTCTCAAATATTAGAATTTCATAACTTTTTTTAATCAATTTGCCTTAAATAATAAAGCCACTAAAACACAAAGGGTTACTGAATGTTGGAGAATATGAGAAAAATATACTGCTAAGAAGTGCGTACAATAAAAAGCAAGAATTAAAAACACAGAAGAAAACAATTGACATTGTATTTAAATTTTTGAAGATCAAAGTCAGCTGGAAAGCAAGAGGCTGGAAGAGAGTTTCACAAGTGAGAAGTGCAAGAGAAGAAACTATTAGCATAGAATTTACAGTCGTATTAAGCCATTTTAATTGTAAAATGGTGAGGCTTAGTTGTTAATCTAGTACTGCACTTAAATTTGTAAAGTCGGGATACCAAAGAGAAAAATTCATCAGAACAATTACCATGAAAATATTTATAGAAAAGGCACAGGGAAACTATGTTATGGTGGTGGGAAAGTGACTGAAGGCAAGAAGCCAGGTCAGGACTAATAACATTGCAGATTCTTCTTTGAATTTTATCAAGAATCTCTAAATAAAGAAACACCAAACTGGATGTGGCAGCAATATTCAAGGTATGGATGAAGAGTAGACTTATGAATGTGCAAGAAAAATTGTCTAGCAGAACACAGTGAATCAACTTTTTTTAGCAGTAGACCTAGCAATTGATTCAATATAGTCATTCCCACTTTATGTCAGCCAGAAAGATTAGCTTGAGAAGGTGCAATAAGTCATTTTGCTGAAGATTAATATCAACTAAAAAAGGTTCTCTAATACAGTTTAAAGAGAGAAATTTCATTTTAAAGGGGTTAACATTAACATGCCATTTCTTGCCCCATTTAACAACTTTGAAACATTTTCTAACATCATGAAACTGTTAGCATAGAACTTATGGTTGCATCAAACAATTTCAACTGTAAAATGATGAAATTCTGGAAAGAAAAATTGACTAGCACAACACAGTAAACTAACTTTCCTAGCTACACACTTATTCAATATACACTTTTCGTTTCATGTCAGTGGAAAACATTAGTCCAAGAAGGTGCAATGGAGGTTAGCATCAGTCATGCCGATGGAAGGTAAAAAAGATTCTTTCAGATGATTAAAAGAGGGCAGTTTTGTTTTTGAAGCATTAAAATTAACAGGTTTAGGACATTTTTTTTTTAGATTAACTGATAATTTGACCTTATCGAACCTATTCAACTTACTATTAAGACAAGAGTAAATAGTTGTATCATCAGCAGAGATACTGAGCTGAGAATTGACATCATCAGGAAGGTCAGTGATGAAAATTAGGTTCAAAGATAGAGGCCTGGGGAACACCTGCATTAATTGTTGTAGAGTAGTTTTCACAGTGGAGGCTTGTATTTCACTAAGTCATCCTAAATTAGGTTCGATGTACAAAATGTTAGGAACTTGCAATAATAATTAATGATGCAGCAATCTAGTTGTGATGGTTGATACTTCAATGTCCGACAGACTCACTCAACACAACTGAGCTCAACTGGCGACTGCTACTACTACTTATTATGTGTGGGAGAGTCTATTAATAATAGAATAGGTACGTTCAGGTATGACATTAATGCAAAAAGATCTATAAGATTCAAGACAATGTTTATTTTGTAATTTGATAAGAAAAACTGAATTATTTCCAAAATTCATCCAGAAATGCCATAACCTTTCAACTTCTGAAGAAGACCAGTATGCCAAACCCTGTCAAATGTGAGATATCCAATGCTTTACCATTTTTGATAGACTTTCAGCAACCGTCAACACATTAACAGTTGGCTTAGAGAGGCATAAGCCATTTTGCTTATATGAAAGAAGACCCTGCAAAGTGAGATGTTTAATTAATTCAGAGTTAGAGACTCTAGTATTTTGCCAAAAAGAAGTAGAAGGTTAATAGGCTGAGAGAAGGATCAGATGGTTTGGCTAAGTTCTTAAAGACTGGAACTACAGAAAAACTTTGTAAAATCTTTAAATAAACTGGTGCCATTGATCAAGTTCCAGTAACATTTTCTATTCTTTGCTGAAATGGGATCTTATATGCAAGTGTGTATTATATGACATGAAATTCAATATATGTTTTGAAAGTCTCTTAAAATACAAGCATGAATTTGAGTGCATTTTATGATAAAGACAAAAAATATAGATGCAAACAAAAAGTGATCATTACCGACAATGATTACAAAAATGACATTAGTTTATTTGTAATTAAAATACTTACTTTCAACCTTAAAGTCTAGTGTAAATCTGAGATCTCTTCTTAAAGTATTACACAAAGTCACACTGACTGTATTTGAAACAGAAGTGAACACTTCTACTGGTTTGAAAAAAAAAGCATGGGTTGTGTTGTAAATTTCATCAACTATCCGTAAATAGACACAACTGCAATAAAACAAAGATTTTTGTTAATAATTAGTCACTGTTATTGATGATGACGAATAAATAAATAAATAGCTTTAAAAAGGAAACAAATGATAAATATTTTGTCAATTTTAATAAGGTTCCGATAGGTATTACTGATCTTTCTGTTTTATGTCAATCTTTTCTGGACAGAAGTCTGGAATCCTTTATTAATCAAAGATAGTTTATATCATGATAATCTGTATGTTTAGTAGTCATTAATAAGAAAATCATTTTGGGTTAAAGGCTTCTATTATACTTTTATATATTAAATTCAAAATGGAAACTGGACCTTCTTCTAAAATTCTTATTATATATTTATTTTAAACATAATTCCTATATTGGATTGATTAAAAGGTTGATTTTCATTTTTGCTGCTAACTGACATTAGAAGCTTTTAATTTTAACAATTACATTAAAAAAAACTTTACTTTTCGTTTTGTAGTGGGATTGGTTAGGCTAATACTAATTAGCATAACCATACCAATATATAGGCAGAACTTGAGATAGACTGTGGAGAGTGTCACTTGTGACGACTACTACTATTGTGTGTATATCAACTTCATAACAGGTTCAATATTAGTATTTCATATCAGCAATTAAATATTGGTTTTTCATTTCAGCAAACATTTTGGAAAAAAATTTAGTTAAATTAAAAATATTTTCTAAAGAAATTGTGATGGGTAAAATGCAGATATTTTAAGACATCATAGAATAAAAAGGATTGCAAAGTAAAATGAACCACTTTTAACTCTACCAAAGCCTGTTCTTTATCTAAAGAAAGTGGTGCTGTGTAGATAGCAGAATTGGAAAAGTGTCTTATTATGAGTATCTTCTAGAAAATTAAAAAATCAATTGCATTGTTCCCAGTTGAAAGAAATTGAGTTAAAAAAAAATCACTGAAAAGTGACAGGCAAAAAAGTGTAGTATTCTATGAGGATAACACTAGACAGAGTTTTTCTGGAATGAGCAAATAAGATATGTTAAAACTTGACTGCAAAATTTTCCCTCATCCATCATTATTCAACATAGATTGCAACTTCAGGTTAAAATTTATTCTGGTATTTACAGGATTCTTTTAATGAAAAGAAAATCGGATCCCTGAAAGAATATTAAAGGCATCTAGAACAATTCTTTGCTGTGTAAAATGAAAAGTTTTGTAAGTATAGAATTATGAAATTGTTTGAATGATAGTAGAAGACTTGATCATATATATATATATATATATATATATATATATATAGTGTAACCCCAAAAAATGGGAATTTTTGAAGTGTGTATTGCCAGACATGAGCAAGTGGCAAAACTGCAAGACAGTAACCTTGAGCAAGTAAACATTTCGCCATTTAGAATTCAAGATGAAATTCACAGTATCCCAGCTGAGATGTTGCAGCAGTCAATGAGGAATCTCAACAGCAGATTTCAAGAAAGCATTCATACAGGAGGACACCATCTACAGGACGTAATTTTTAAAAATGAAAATTCTATCATTGTTTCTTAAATGGCATATTTTAAGGTTTTAATTACTATGAATAAAATATTTTTCTTCCCGTTTTTTTTTTTTTTATTGTATATATATATATATATATATATATATATATATATATATATATATGTGATTTCTAGTGGGCACCAAGTTTTAAATTGTTGTTAACATGGTGTAGCTTGATATCAAGGAAAGTTAAGGAATTGTATTCTTCCATTTCATATATAAATTCTATTGTAAGTTCGAATTTATTTAGTTTATCTACTAGGTCAAGTAAAACAATGTCATGATGATATATTAATAGAGCATCATCATTATATTGGAACTATGTTGATTTATTAAGTAAAATATTTTGTAAAGGACTAGATTTGAGAAATTCTAACAGTTACATTAGTAACCACATTTTTTTTTTGTAAAAATCATCATTAAATGTGAAATAACTTTGCAACCTGACCTCGTAGATAAACTAAACAAAGTTGAACATACAATATAATTTACATAAGAAATGGAAGAATATATATATATATATATATATATATATATATATATATATAAAAGAGATGTCAAAAAAGCAAAGATTGAGAGGGCTCTGCTTCCCAGCCTGGTTCAGCACCCAGCATCCCAACTGCAACAGACTTTTCAGGGCAAAGATCAGACTCATTAGTCATCTTTTACTTAAAGATGCTATCATTTTTGGACAACCCAATTAAAATATTTTTTTTAATTTTTCATACAAATATTGAATTAAATAACATTCATATTTATACAAAATTTGCATAATTGAAAATTTTATACCATTCATTATTCTGAGAAAATCTTTATCATTTTACGAGCTATTAAACTTATTCTGAGAAAATCTTTTATCATCTTAAAAGCTATTAAACTTATTCTGAGAAAATTTTTTATCATTTTAAGAGCTATTAAACTTATTCTGAGAAAATCTTTACCATTTTAAAAGCTTAAAAACTTATTCTGAGAAAATCTTTTATCATTTTAAAAGCTATTAAACTCATTTTTTGTGTTGTATTTATTGTTCCCACCACTTTTCAGCTAATCTACACAACAACTTTCTTCTATGACAAAAGAAAATTGTCTCTTTTCTTGAATTTTTTTTCTTTACTCAACAGGGAAAGGAAAGGAGAGGCTGAATTCACATAAATATGGAATCGTTTGTTTTGCATAGTTCACTAGGAATGAGTGAGATGTAAAGTTTGCATTACTAGAAATGATCAATATTTGCCATCTTTCTTTCCTGTTTATTACCAAATTCAGAAGGGACATCTTTCTTTCCTTTCACATTGATAATGGTAAATACTTTTATTTGTTCTACAAATCTTTATAAATCTTTCTGAATACTTATTTAGGTAAATAACTTTCTAAAAAGTTATTTAACTTATTTAGGTAATAACACTAGTAATACTTTTAAAAGCATTGCAATAATCTTCTTGGAAGATCACAAATGGAAAACTGTTTTCTTTGTGTAGATGTGATATTGCCAATTAACAACCTCATTGAAAGAAAAGTTGCAAATGCATGCATTTGGTTAATTGGGAAGGAATCCAAAAGATAATAAAAAATATTTCTTAATGTTTCTTTGATGCATATTATTTATAAAGTGCCAGTATATAAAAGAAAAACATGCAATTTTCTTTTATGAAATATGGATTTATGTTAAACTTTACATTTCTCAATTATAAAATTAAATAATATTTCAGAAGATTCCACATAGCATAATAAATTTTAAAAGATTTATAAATTTAATCAAATAAATGGAAAAAAAAATTAAAGAATAATTTTTTCAATGGTAATTTTTTTCCCTTCACAACACATAAGTCTTTAATATATATTATTTAAAACCGCAATTGAAAGTATTTCAAATAGAATAGATTTAGTGCATTTTTCTTTTCCCGATTCAGGGTTTATTTTAATTTCTCTTGGAGCTTTTTATAATTGTAAATATTTTTACATCCAAATTATATTTTATTAATATTTCATAAAATTAAATAAACTGTGGTATGAATACTTTAAAAAATAATTTCCAGAAATATTCTCTTTTCATAAATAAATTCATTCATAAATAAATAAATCCCTCCAAAATTTATTGAAATTTGATAATTGGGACATTTTTTAAATATCAAAGTGTTTTTCACATATAAATATTTCATTATATTATTTTAGCAGGAAATATTCACTAAGCAAGAATGAATGAATATGAATTTTCTCTGAAATTCCTGTATCAAATTCAATCAAGCAATCAATCAGAATTCTATTACACTTCAGTTGTAAAGATGTTAAAATATATTGGCTTATATTAACTCAGTAAAAAATACCTATTCAATAATTTAAATGTTTCACCCAATTTCAAGAAAGACAGTTTAAGAAAATGAGATACTGTATTTATTTGTGGATACATTGCACCCTTAGTTTGGAGTTGTCAAAGTGGCTTTTTGCAGTTGACTCACAGATAGGTCGCGCTATAATCTGGGGAGTTACATGGCCCCTTTTTTTTAACATAAATATAACTAATATTTGTTAAATATTTTCAAATATTCACTTTTATTTCAAAACTTTGCTTACATATATTAAAACATAAGAAAAGTGATTGGTTGTAATTGCATGGTATTTACTTATTGAGTATGGAGCTGTTTAGACAACAATTTGGATACGGGTAATCGCTTCAGTTCTAAAATCACTTGAAAATGATAGTCTTTCATTGTAAATCAGATAATAAATGGTAAATAGGAGCAATGCAGATCAATCACTTTTATTTGATGTGTGACATGGTACACTTGGACATTATGTTGGACATTTCAATTTTATGTAATCACTTCAATTGTGTAAAATCGAAATGTCGGGACAAATTCATTTTCTTCCTTGCTCTTGATTATGCTTAAGCCCAGGGTACTTGCCTGAACTACTGGTATACCACAGTCTGCTTCACATTCTCTATGAAGCTGAGTGGATAGGTTGCACCTTTTATTTTTATCAAAATTTTGGTGAAAAATAGTGCAACCAATCCTTGAGTATATACAGTAACCCAAAGAATGGCCAAATCAACAGAAATTATATTGTTTCTACCTTTGAAAAGAAGCATTAATATATTCTGTATTATACAATTGCAGTTTCTGCTGAAAGATTGTGTTAACAACAGTAACTATACAAAGAAAAGATTCAAGTGTCAATGTTGGATAAAATAGAAATGAGTCTTTAAAATCCACAAGAAAATGAGGTTTGATTACCACTCTGTTTTCAAAGGAAAAAGAAGATAAATTGTTAATATTCAATGATTTTTAAAGAGATACATCTTAGGAAATAATTAAAATACTTGTAAGTTACTACTTTTTTTTTCAAAGAAATTACTACAGATATCTGAAAAGAAAGTTAGAAACATCTACTAATCAAACATGTTTAATACTATACAAATAAAACATTGTGTGTATGTTACTAGTAATACAAAATAACTGTAGTATCATATGCAAATTAGAAAGACAAGTATAAATAGAGAACAACTGGTGAACATAGGAAACAGTTATACCTAGCAAACTCAGTTGCTATTCAGGACATGGAGAACTGTACCACGACTACTACACAGAGATATGCAAAACATAACAGACTCTTTTCCATATAATCAGCATGAAGATAGATAATGCAGTTGTCCTGTTGGTGTGTAATGGCTGGCAACTCGTATTCAATTATGCCTGTATATTAGGGTGGCTAGCCAATTCCCGCGCAGGCTCATTTGTATTTATTCAATGCCCACAGTCTACTTGTGGTTTACACTGCAACTATGCTGAGCAGACTTTAGTTAGTTTCTAGTGCTTTATCCACAGTCTGAACAAGGTTAGTTAGTATGCTTTGCTCACGATGACTTATGACTTCATGCTACCACAATGATCGATGGCTCCCAAATAATTCTGTCTACCCAAATTCACTCACAATGCTTAGGTTAAACCATGGTAAGATTTTTCAGGCACTATTCAAAGGTGCAGCACACTGGGATTGCCTCACCGATAAAGCCACTAAGATGCAAGGAGTTACTGAGTGTCAGAGAATATGAGAAAATGAAAACATTATTAAAAAGAGAGAACAATAAAAGAACAGAAATTAAGAAAACAGAAGATAATTGACATTGCATTTAAATTTTGAACATCAAAGTTGACTGGGAAGCAGGATGTCATAAGAGGATTCCACAAGCAGATGCGAGAGAAGAAACTGTTACACTTAGCCTTTTAACTTTAAAAAGACAAGAACTTGCTGCTAATCTAGTACTATACTTAAATTCATGAAGCCTAGTTACCATAGAGGAAAATTCATCAGAACAATTACCGTGAAAATATTTATAGAAAAGGCACAAGGAAGCTATGTTATAGTGGTGGGAAAGGGACTGAAGCCAAGATGCCAGGTTAGGACCAATTTGCAATGTTATTGGTCCTGACTTGGCATCTCAGCTTCCTTCTTGTGGCATGTTTGCAACAAGTTCACATGGAATTTCTGCTCAATTTTTTTTTTCTTTTGGCATGCAAAAATCTTATTACAGCTGAAATGTTTGTTACTGTTTTATGGTGTCAGTCTTTTCTGTTATGATGTCATATATACAAACACACAATATTAAGGCTATTTTGGTTTATTGCATCTCCAATTTTATTGTACATGCTTAGTATTTATATCTTTCACAATATTTTAATTCCAATTGATTGATTCCTATCTCTAACTTACTTTAAAGATATCTTTTAGAAACTTCTCAAAAGAAAAAAAATTGAGAAAAACTGTTGCACTTACTCTTCCTGACAATGTGATGAAACATGGGGATAACATCGAAGATTGTCTTGAATGTTGCTCCATTTAAATATCAGCTTTAATCGACAAGCTTTACAAAGATAGAAGAGCATTTTGCATTGCACTTCATATCGAGTTATATTTTGCATTGGATGAACCTTAATGAAACCAGTATCTCTCACTTGAGGGGATACTGTTGGGTTATCGGCACACAGGTTGTATGCTAAATTAGAAAAAAAGATATTTATACTTGTTGTTTTTAAATGACATTTAAGCTTTATATTTAATGTTAGATGTTTAAAAAATATGTAACTTAAATCATAAAAAATGTCTTTATTTTAGACAAAGTTTTATTTTTCAACAGATTCTCTTTTTTTGTCAATGCAATTAATTCAGATCAAACATTATACAGTGAAAATTTCAGATCCAATTTTAGTGTCAGGCTATAGACATATCAATTTCACTTTTGTAAGTATTTTGACTCTATACCTTTTCAACTTCAAAATGATAATAATCAACTTCAAAATGATAATAATCAACTTCAAAATGCGTTTATTTTCATGTAAAAAATTAATCAACTTCAAAATGGATTAATCAATTTCAAAATGCAACAATCAACTTCAAAATGGATTAATCAATTTCAAAATGCAACAATCAACTTCAAAATGGATTAATCAACTTCAAAATGGATTAATCAACTTCAAATTGAGAAAATTTCAAAAACCTAAAAACAATCAACTTCAAAATAAGAATAAACAACTTCAAATTGGAATAAACAACTTCAAATTGAGATATTTTTTTTGGTAAATTGAAAATTATTTTTTCAATTAATTTACCCCATGAGTAAGGAAATTGACTGTTCGTCTTCATTATATATACAGATGAAGAAAAAACCAAAATACAAACAACTTAGAGGCCAAGAAAGCATTGAGTGAGCCTACAGTAAAAGTAGGAGAAGAAAATCCCGTATGGACAAAAATGATGATTGATGATGATGATGCTAGAGAAATCTCTACAAAAGAAGCTGAAGAAGAATTAGCAACAGCTCCAAAGAGGACTTACCTCAAGAAAACTGTGGCCCAGATTTTAGCTGCACATGCCGCAGCAGGAAATTGGAAAGACCTGGCAAGAACAATTGGTGTGCCTCTGCCAACAGCGTACCATTGGTTAGACCAGGATGCTGATAAGAGTGACTCTAGGGGAGGAGCAAGAAAATATAAAATTACGCAAGTGCATAAGAATTTCATGGCCGAATTAATTGAAAACTCTCCTAGGGTCACTCTTCAAGATATTGTAAATAAGTTGGTCGAAAAGTATGAGGTTTGTGTGATGAAAGAATGCATAAGAAAGCACTTGGACTCCATGGCCTTTACTTTAAAAGCGGTTCATTATGAACCAGAAGCTGCCAATAATAATGTCAATAAAATATTAAACGTAAGGATTATGCAGTAGCTTTATTAGAATTTCCGTCCCAAAGTGTGCCAATTCTTTATATGGATGAAACCAATTTTAATCCATATTTCAAGAAGAGAAGGTTGCTCTAAAAAAAGGCATGAGGTGCACTACAGTCACAGACGGATCCAGGGGAAATAACATCCATGTTATTGGATGTATTAGTAATAATGAATTTTCATCATAAAATCAAAAGAGGTTCTTTCAAAAAAGAGAGTGCGAGAGAATGGAACAGGGATTGCCTTAGAAAGGCAAATGAGATTTGTGAAAGGGGAGTTGTCTTAGTTATTGATAACGCTCCTTGCCATACTTCAATTGAAGAAGTTGTGGAGGAGGATGAATATAGGCAACACAAAATTTTCAGACTTGCCCCCTATAGTCTGATGTTAAATCCCATTGAAAAGGTTTGGTCAGTCATTAAAGCTGACGTAAAAAGAAGTATCAATTCAAATGTTGGGATTTTAAGAGGTGATAGCCAGGGATCTTTAACTACTAAAGAATTCCGCCTCAGCAAGTTAGAAGCGATGATCTCCAAGGCAATTAATAATATTTCCCCTGAGACTTGCACTAACTTTGTATCTGGAATACAGAGATTACTTCCCTCTGTAATTAACTTAGATGATGTAAATCTTTTAAATAAATTTCTTAGGAACGTTTATATTTTTTTATATCCCTTTTAAGTAAAAATAAAAGAATAAATATTAAATTTATTAGTATTATATTAATTCTCAATTTGAAGTTGATTAATCCAATTTGAAGTTGATTATTTCTCATTTTGAAGTTGTTTTCCAATTTGAAGTTGATTAATCCATTTTGGAGTTGATTGATCCATTTTGGAGTTGATTGATCCATTTTGGAGTTGATTAATTTTTTTACCTGAAAATAAGTCCATTTTGAAGTTGAAAAGGTATAGAATTATTCAAAGATTGATACTGAGAAAAATGTATATATCATTAAATTGGAAAATTTATATATATATTAGGCTGAGATGGAAATTATATAAAAATCTATAAGAATGATAAAAGTTTTACAAGCATTATTATCTTAGTAATATATGAGGGGATGCTGAAAAGTTCTTGGCCTAACCATGAAACCTTTTCAAGAAAAGAAGAATCTGATGTTTGTTTGGTCAGATTTTGAAAAGTGGGTTTAGCTAAGAATTTTTTGGCAACTTCACATGGTATGATTTTTACAAGATTTAAAAATTATGAATAAGTTTTATTTTGTTTTTCAATATGTTCAAATACTGACTTAAAATCAGATAATAAATTTGAGCTCAAAAATGTACAAATAGAATTTTTATTTGATTTATATTTACCGATATCATTGCTGGCTGCACAGCAAAGGTGTCCAACAAAACATAATAAAACTAAAAAGAAATAAAATATATAATAGTTAAAAAAGAACATGAAAGTACAAAATATTTTTTTAACTAAATGTTCACCCAAAACAAGCCTCAAGTAAATACGGAATATTAGGATAAGTAGGATAGATAATGCTTAACCCTAGACTTGAAGAGATTATAATTGTATTGATTGGGGAATCCTTCTCTCAGAAGTCTTTCCCCCAAAGTAGTGATTCTCAAGAAGAAGCTGAGAGAAACATCCTTCTTACAAATGAAATATGTAAGGAATGAGGATAGTTTGAAGTTGTCAATATGGTACAGAGATGTTAGCTGTAAAGGTCTTAACTATTGATACTAAAACATGTCATTATCTGAATATTAAAGCTAATCTATTTATCAATCCATTTTAGACAATGTTTAACATTTGTGCCAGCAAAAAAAATGGTTTGTCAAAAGAATGGTCTTTCTGTTGACACTGCTAATACGTTAAACTCCAAGACTCACTGGGCAACATTTATTTACAAGATTGTAAAAATACGTGAACCAAATACAATGCAATATTTATTAAAGAAATAAATACAATGCAATATTTTATAAAGAAATAAATTTGAAAAGAAATCTTTTTATTTAAAAATTTATAAAAACCTACAAAATTTTCAACAAATTGTGTTCTTTGCAATGATTGGCAAAACACTAATGATTTGCCAATCAATATGAACTTTATAAAATGGTAAATAAAGATTTCATTATAGTTGATTCCCATATTTTTATTATCTAGTAAATTTTTATAAATTTATAAATAAAAAGTTGTTTTCATATTTATTTTTGAATAAATAGTGTTTAATATTTTTGTTGTGAATTCTCAAAGAACAAAGAAAATTCATTTTCATGTTTAGATTTTGTTAAAATTCTAATCATTGCTTTTAAAAACAATAAACATTGCTGAGGGGGTGAATGGAGTACAAAATAATAATAGTGGTGTCAAAGGAAAATCATCCTTTTGACAACACTGTTTTATTGCAGGCATGAAGGTTAAACTCCGTCCCATTTTATATTTTGAAGACATAACTGAAAATCCTATTAAAATTCTTGCACTTTGAAATTACACATTATATATATATATATGTGTGTGTGTGTGTGTGTGTGTGTGTGTGTGTGTGTGTGTGTGTGTGTGTGTGTATATATATATATATATAAACTGAAATGATATATATTTAAAAGTTATCAAAATATTCATTATGAAATCATAACAAATGTTACTAAATACAAATGTTACTTAAATGACACTAATAAAAGGACTCATTAGTGAGTTAGATATTTATTTCTTTTCTATGGAGCAAGAAATAAATTTGGAAGATAAAGTGTAGCTTCAACGGGTAGTCTTAAAACTGTCTGATCTCATGTGTCAGCATGTTTGCCAAAGGAATGATAGAATATCTGTGTTGCTATACTCTGTTTCAGACTAGACATCTTTCTGATTCACTCCACACCAAAACCTGTCAGCTAGATGGGAACACTATGAAAGCAAAATTAAAATTAAAAAATCATTATATGAGTCGGATCTCTGAGCATTACATCCAGCTCACAAAACAAATCACCAAAAATACACAAAATTTTCAAACACAATTGAAAATGTCTATTCAATGATTTCTGTGTTTTGCCTGAAGACTCTCCTGGCTGAGAATCCAATCTCACAGAAGTAAACTGAAAAGGAATGCTTGAAGGGCTTTCAAAACAATTTCAATGACCTTAGGATATTCTGCTTTTACTTCTATCCAAAAAGAAACAAAAAATTTCAAGAATGATCTTTTATTTTTCATTGGTACCATTAGTTGACAGTCCATATATCAGCATGATCACACTTTGAGTAGCACTGACATAAATGACATCTTGAAAATGATTTTAAGTATGTTCCAAACATAAATAAAGAACTACAATTTCATGAGCCTTTTCTAGGAAAATAAATTTGCATCCTACACCTAATTTTTACCTTGGATAAAATGAGTTTAAGTAAGAAAAAATAATACTTTATGCTCCAGAGTGAAAAAAAAAATAACTAAATGTTTACTTACAAACAAGCTTTAATTTGTTATACAACTGAGCCAGTTCCATATTTCCAAATTGTCAATCTGCAACAAAAATGTTAAAAATTCCATATAAATAAAAAAACATTTTTTTTTCTGCTGCTTATTTGTAAATAGCTTAAAAGACGCCCTATTGCCAAAAACAATTACAGTAATGAAAACTTGAGAATCCAAAATTTCAGGATTGCGAGTCTGGATCTGGTCTGAAATGTTTTTAAATTGCTCATGGATTTGGCCCGATTCTAAAATATGTTGGACTACAGCCTCTAGGAGTAAAGTTGAAAAAGTGTGACACATGGACATTCACATTTATTTAACTTTAGTTTGAAGATTAAAAGTTTCCCTAGATATATCTGTTGAAATAATAACAGATAATACACTTTGATTTTAGCAAAAAGAGAGTCTGTAACTGCATGACTGAGATTTTCTTTCTCAAATCATTTGATTTATTCTGTGGGGAGTTGAACTTTTAAACTTATGCAATTTAGTGAAAAAGTGACAGCGGAAGAAAAGGTTTTGGAAAATAATATAACAAAAGCTTTTTATGCAGTGGTTAACAAAATTTAACTTTTTTCTCCTCAATAATAAAGTCTTTGTGTACTATATATTTATTAGGTTGACCAACATATATGTTAGATACTTGACACTTCAACATATTTCGATGTGCACCTGGAACAAGACAGGTCATATTTTGTATGTGTGGGATGAACCTGAAAATGGTGAACCAAAACAAACATTATTGACACCTCATGTTTTTTTTTTAAGAAAAAGGCAAGTAAGTGGCAGAAACCTGTGAGAAGATATGTGCTTTGTATGAAAAGGATGATGTTATGGAATGTGTATGAAAAGGATGATGTTGTGGAATGTGTATGAAAAGGATGATGTTGTGGAATGTGTATGAAAAGGATGATGTTATGGAATGTGTATGAAAAGGATGATGTTGTGGAATGTGTATGTATCAGATATCGGTTGTCAGGTTTGTTATATTCACTAACATGCAAATACCCTTTCTTCTCCACCTGACCTCATCTATGGGATGAATAGTCTTGGTTGGTAACCAGTTTACCACAGAAAGAAATGGAAACCTACTGCAGGAAAACCTTCTGTATAACTGACTGTAAGAGAAATTTCAATTGGGAAATTTTTTGGTTCAAGATGCACCTCATTCTGGCCAGCCAATTGAGATTAACATTAACAAAATGAAGAAGTTAGTCAATACCAACCGCCACTATACAACCACAATAATCGCAGATATTTTCCAGATATCCAAACAAAGTGTTGAATACACCATCTGCATCTTGTTTACATCAGCAGGCTCAATGTTTGGGCCCTACATCAATTGAAGGGGGCTAACCTTAACCAACAGATTTCCATTTGAAATTGGTTGCAGAAATGTGAATCCATTTTTTAAAAGAGTGGTGACAGGACCAAAACATCTTTAACAATGTGAAGTGCAAACAGTCTTAGGAGAAGTGTGGCAAACAACCTCCAAAGCAAGACTTCCCCCAAAGAAGCTTAATGCTTTCAGTTTAATGGGATTGGAATTTCTTCAATTTGGTGGGATTTATGAGCTTCTTCCCATGAATAAAATCATCAATTCAGATATGTACTGTGACCAGCTGGGCAAATTAAATGCAGCAATCCACCAGAAGTGTCCAGTACTTGCTAATCAACAATGTCAGAGCACACACCTTTTTGTAGATGAGGTAAAAATTACTAGAGGTTTGGCTGGGAAGTTTTGTTGCACCCTCCATATTAAATGCAGCAATCCACCAGAAGTGTCCAGTACTTGCTAATCAACAATGTCAGAATCAACAATGTCAATGCAGCAATCCACCACCTTTTTCAACAATGTAGATGAGGAGGTAAAAAATTACTAGAGGTTTGGCTGGGAAGTTTTGTTGCACCCTCCATATTAAATGCAGCAATCCACCAGAAGTGTCCAGTACTTGCTAATCAACAATGTCAGAGCACACACCTTTTTAGATGAGATGAGGTAAAAATTACTAGAGGTTTGGCTGGGAAGTTTTGTTGCACCCTCCATATTAAATGCAGCAATCCACCAGAAGTGTCCAGTACTTGCTAATCAACAATGTCAGAGCACACACCTTTTTGTAGATGAGGTAAAAATTACTAGAGGTTTGGCTGGGAAGTTTTTGTTGCACCCTCCATATTAAATGCAGCAATCCACCAGAAGTGTCCAGTACTTGCTAATCAACAATGTCAGAGCACACACCTTTTTGTAGATGAGGTAAAAATTACTAGAGGTTTGGCTGGGAAGTTTTGCTGCACCCTCCATATTAAATGCAGCAATCCACCAGAAGTGTCCAGTACTTGCTAATCAACAATGTCAGAGCACACACCTTTTGTAGATGAGGTAAAAAAGAGGTTTGGCTAGAGGTTTGGCTGGGAAGTTTTGCTGCACCCTCCATATTAAATGCAGCAATCCACCAGAAGTGTCCAGTACTTGCTAATCAACAATGTCAGAGCACACACCTTTTTGTAGATGAGGTAAAAATTACTAGAGGTTTGGCTGGGAAGTTTTGCTGCACCTCCATATTAAATGCAGCAATCCACCAGAAGTGTCCAGTACTTGCTAATCAACAATGTCAGAGCACACACCTTTTGTAGATGAGGTAAAAATTACTAGAGGTTTGGCTGGGAAGTTTTGCTGCACCTCCATATTAAATGCAGCAATCCACCAGAAGTGTCCAGTACTTGCTAATCAACAATGTCAGAGCACACACACCTTTTGTAGATGAGGTAAAAATTACTAGAGGTTTGGCTGGGAAGTTTTGTGCACCCTCCATATTAAATGCAGCAATCCACCAGAAGTGTCCAGTACTCAATGTCAGAATGTCAGAGCTTTTGTAATGTCAGAGTACACACCTTTTTTACAATCAACAATGTAGAAATTTTACTAGAGGTTTGGCTGGGAAGTTTTGCTGCACCCTCCATATTAAATGCAGCAATCCACCAGAAGTGTCCAGTACTTGCTAATCAACAATGTCAGAGCACACACCTTTTTTTTGTAGATGAGGTAAAAAATTACTAGAGGTTTGGCTGGGAAGTTTTGCTGCACCCTCCATATTAAATGCAGCAATCCACCAGAAGTGTCCAGTACTTGCTAATCAACAATGTCAGAATGTTTGTAGATGAGGTAAAAAATTACCTTTTGGCTGGGTAGATGAAATGCAAAATTGTCCAGTACTAGAATCAACAATGGTTTTGTAGATGGGAAAATTTTTTGGCTTTTTTGCTGCACCCTCCATATTAAATGCAGCAATCCACCAGAAGTGTCCAGTACTTGCTAATCAACAATGTCAGAGCACACACCTTTTGTAGATGAGGTAAAAATTACTAGAGGTTTGGCTGGGAAGTTTTGTGCACCCTCCATAAATGCAGCAGCAATCCACCAGAAGTGTCCAGTACTTGCTAATCAACAATGTCAGAGCACACACCTTTTTGTAGATGAGGTAAAAATTACTAGAGGTTTGGCTGGGAAGTTTTGCTGCACCCTCCATATTAAATGCAGCAATCCACCAGAAGTGTCCAGTACTTGCTAATCAATCAACAATGTCAGAGCACACACCTTTTTGTAGATGAGGTAAAAATTACTAGAGGTTTGGCTGGGAAGTTTTGCTGCACCCTCCATATTAAATGCAGCAATCCACCAGAAGTGTCCAGTACTTGCTAATCAACAATGTCAGAGCACACACCTTTTTGTAGATGAGGTAAAAATTACTAGAGGTTTGGCTGGGAAGTTTTGCTTGCACCCTCCATATTAAATGCAGCAATCCACCAGAAGTGTCCAGTACTTGCTAATCAACAATGTCAGAGCACACACCTTTTTGTAGATGAGGTAAAAATTACTAGAGGTTTGGCTGGGAAGTTTTGCTGCACCCTCCATATTAAATGCAGCAATCCACCAGAAGTGTCCAGTACTTGCTAATCAACAATGTCAGAGCACACACACCTTTTAAAAATTACTAGAGGTTTGGGGGAAGTTTTGCTGCAATATTAAATACTAGAAGTGTTTACTTGCTCAACAATGGAGCACACACCTTTTGTAGATGAGGTAAAATTACTTTGGCACCACCTCCATATTAAATGCAGCAATCCACCAGAAGTGTCCAGTACTTGCTAATCAACAATGTCAGAGCACACACCTTTTTAGATGAGGTAAAAATTACTAGAGGTTTGGCTGGGAGATGAGCAGCAATCCACCAGAAGTGTCCAGTTACAACAATGTCAGAGCACACACCTTTGGATGAGGTAAAATTACTGGGTTTGGCTGAAGTTTTGTTGCACCCTCCATATTAAATGCAGCAATCCACCAGAAGTGTCCAGTACTTGCTAATCAACAATGTCAGAGCACACACCTTTTTGTAGATGAGGTAAAAATTACTAGAGGTTTGGCTGGGAAGTTTTGTTGCACCTCCATATTAAATGCAGCAATCCACCAGAAGTGTCCAGTACTTGCTAATCAACAATGTCAAGCACACACCTTTTTGTAGATGAGGTAAAATTACTAGAGGTTTGGCCAGGAAGTTTTTGCTGTCACCTCCATATTAAATGCAGCAATCCACCAGAAGTGTCCAGTACTTGCAATCAACAATGTCAGAGCACACCCTTTTTGTAGATGAGGTAAAAACTTTTGGCTGGGACCATAAATGCAGCAATCCACCAGAAGTGTCCAGTTTGGTCAGAGCACACACCTTTTTGGGAGGTAAAATTACTAGAGGTTTTGGCTGGGAAGTTTTGTTGCACCCTCCATATTAAATGCAGCAATCCACCAGAAGTGTCCAGTACTTGCTAATCAACAATGTCAGAGCACACACCTTTTGTAGATGAGGTAAAAATTACTAGAGGTTTGGCTGGGAAGTTTTGCTGCACCCTCCATATTAAATGCAGCAATCCACCAGAAGTGTCCAGTACTTGCTAATCAACAATGTCAGAGCACACACCTTTTTGTAGATGAGGTAAAAATTACTAGAGGTTTGGCTGGGAAGTTTTGTTGCACCCTCC